CCGTCGCATGTTAAAAAATGTTACAGTTTACCTGCAAGATTCTCTTGTGACAAGTAACTTTGCAATTGTCAGTCCTATTGTGACCAAACATGGGTCACATATGCATTCGGGGGACCTCCACACTGATGTTGTCAAGGGTCACATGCTAAGGTCAAAGTTCGTTTGAGGTTATATATTACAGTTTACAAGTAAGACTCTCTTGTGACAAAATTCACAACTGTTGATTGTATTGTGAGTAAATTTGTGTCGCCGATGCATTTTGGAGATCTTTACTTTAATATGGTGATGTCGGGGGTCACATGATAAGTTCATAGGTCGTTTGAAGTCATTTGATAAAGTTCACCTGCATGACCTTGCTGTCACAAATAAAGCGCATCAAACTTGGGTCAGGGATACTTTTTGAGAATATTCAGACAATTTGGTCAGGTTGGTGAGGCACAATTATTTGGCGGTTGTCTTGTATTATTTGTTATATTCATTTTATTCTGTAATCTCCATTTAGATATGATAATATACCACTGATAGTGACGAAATAGTGTACAAAAGCATTTAATCATAATTATATCGAGCATTAGGTATGAGATAAGTGTATTTAGGCTGAGTCATTGATATATTGACTAATGACTAATATTTTTAACGTTGTATGCTCGTTTAATTCATTAAATTATCATTATAGCCTACATATAAATTTATGTTTGATGTATGTCCGTTGAAATTCATGGACATTTCTACAGCACGACCAAACTATAAACGAAGTGTTGCATTCATTTGCCCAGAGTTATTGTGTTTGAAAACTCATTAAATGTATTCTTGTTGTGTCAGGCCTCCTACAAGCTTAAATCATTTTAGTAGAGTCATGCGGAACATTTGAATAATTTTACTGTGAACAGGTCTATTCAACACATATTTAGTCCCCCAAAAAGAAATTAATCCATTTTTGTTACGTTTATAGAGAACCACTTCTTGATGTTTTAAACAAAATTACGATGGAACCTGTTGACCATTACATGTGTAAAGTTATATCACAACTGAGTGTATTAGTATTACCTATTGAATGTGTCATTCGTATAGCTTCGGGTTTTTCTGTTTGTTTGTTGTTGTTATTTTTTTACCATGAATTATGTGGCAGGATATTGTGATATTTTGGTATGTTTGTTTGTTTTTATATAAACTTATCTATCACCTTGGTGAACTAGTCTCTAAGAAAACGTCGAGAATGGTGTTTGAAATGCATACTGTGTGAAAGAGTCCATGAGGGGATGATAACTTGTTTATTATTTAAATTATCGTTAGTACAAGAGAATTATTCTCTCCACTCATCAACATGCACTGTTTTCATTATTTTTTGATATTTTATTTTATTTTATGCAATTTATGCAATTATCTAGTCTAGTCTCGGTCCTTAGAAATTAATGTCAGATTACTTTGGCATCATATCAAAACTTGTAACCGCAAAAGATGACGTGCATTTGAAGTATGGTTTCAGATAGAATACCACATAATGTTAAAGTCCTGTTTTGCTATACTGAAGCGTTCACTCATTTATTCTTGTGAATATTACGGATTTGGATTTTCCCAAAACCATCGAAACAGATAGACCGTGCAAACATGGCAATTAAAAAGCAACTTGTTTCATCTTTACAGGTTTGATTTAAAAACGTGCACTACGAGAATTGTTCTCTTATCATTATTAAAATTTATCATAACAATAAAACTGAACAAGATATTGAAAGATATATTTTAAAAAAAGCATTGACCTGACAGAGTGCAACATGATCCGGGCAAGTAATAACAATAGACTTTGACACAAAATTCTAATTTACTTTAATCACGACAAGGAATAGTCTGAATGCTTGAAGAAAGAAAATTACCTAAATCCACTTATCCATCCATCTCTCTCTCTCTCTCTCTCCCTCTCTCTCTCTCTCTCTCTCTCTATCTCTCCTACTCTCCCTCTGCTACTTTCCCATTTCCCTCATCCTCTCTTTCTTTCTCTCTCTCTCTCTCTCTCTCTCTCTATCTCTCCTTCCCCTTCTCCGAGTATCTGTCTCTCCCCTCTCTCCTTCCCTTTCTCCCCCCCCCCCCCCATGTCCGTCATGGCTGTGCTTCAAGTGCTCTCTCTCTCTCTCTCTCTCTCCTCTCTCTCTCTCTCTCTCTCTCTCTCTCTCTCTCCCTCTCCACCTCCCTCTCCACCTCCCTCTTACAAGCCCCATCTGAAGCAACCTGTATCATCATCCTTGTCACCCATCTTTCCAACCATGGATACCTACATTATATCGGTGTTCCAAGTAACATTTATGTACTTCAAATATTGTCATATTCTGGTTTTTGTTTAAACAAGCGCAGTGCATTTTCTATCCCTTACTTTCGTACCACACTATATAGGCCTACACATCTCATAACCATTATTTGACATTTGAAATCCAAGGCCCTGATTCATACAAAAATGATATCAAAGGCTCTTTCACTCACTTTGCATTAAGCTTAGGAAGAACAAGACATGAGGAATGAAATATCTCATGTCTTCATTTGTTTGATATTAACTTTAAACTTGCTGATTTTCCCATTGGCCTGGCTATCATTTTCGACGGTTTCAGGTCATATGATTTTATTCATTACATATAATTCTATGAGTCTCTGTCCTTTCCTCCAGGATGTTCCCACCCTCATGAAAACATAAACATGTATTAGTGTCTAATACAACATGTATATACACACCCTGGAAATATGAACGACTTTCGCTTTCTAGCTCATTCAAAGTCTAAGGGGAGTAGCAAGAGGGGCAGCCCCCCCCCCCTTCGCTGTTCTTCCGCTTAAAAAGGGTCATCCAGGAAACTTGGGGGTCAAAACCTAAACATATCCCTAACCCCACGCAGTGTATCCATGTGACTCCACACGGTTCCCCGGATCAACAGGTCTCCTCTTTTCCTCTTCTACATTTCCTCTTTCTGCAATCTCTCGAAAAATCTGGAAATGTTCACTTTCCCTTGCTGACTCATCCTCCCTCTGCATTACAAAATGTTTGCCCTTTGACTTGCTTCCTTCCGTCCTTGGCACTCGATCGTGCCTATACACGTGGTTCATGTTTCTTCACGTATATACTCGTAAGATCATGTCTGGTAAAAAAAATTAAAAAAAACTTTATATAACAAAAATAATTTTACCCCCCCCCCCCCCACCGATCACATGATTCTGCGCTGCAGTTCTCTGTTATATACAAGTAAGCACATTTTACTTCAATGACCATCAGTGTGGTGCGCTCGCCCAACACAGATAGATGACAAGGATAAACTTGTTACTAATTCGAACATAATAATTACATTTTTATTTCTTACTATTAAAATCCTTTATTTTTCTTTGCTTATATGCAGATTATCACTGATGTGGACAAAATGAAGAGCATTGTGCAATATACAAGAGAGAAAGCTTCACATTTAACAAAGTGACTGTGTTTGGGTGTGCCTATGTTGATTTCATCATTCATTACCTTGCGGCCTAGTTTATAATGTGAAGGTTAGATGTTGATAATCGTGTATATGATTCTAGATGATCCATTAGCTATGCTTGTCACAATCATTCCACACCTCATAATGTATTGCCTAAAATCCTTCATTATATCATGAGCTTTTGTAGTAGGTTCATGTTGTGGGTTCATGATTAGACATAGTCAGGGGCGTAGACAACGGGGGGGATGAGGGGGATGCATCCCCCCACCTCACAAGGTGGGGGGGATGGCATGTACAATCATCCCCCCCCCCCAGGTTTTGGGGAATGATATTTGCTTACTTAATAAGTCATAATGATGATAATAATAGTAATAATAATAATGATAACAATTATAATATTAATAACAATAATACTTATGATGATGATGATAATAATAATCCTCATCATTATTGTAATTGTGTTTATTATTAGCCGCATTCACACGGTGAAAGCCAATTCAGACGGTAAAAAAAAGAAAATCTTACAAGTATTTTGTGGTTATCTTGTGGTTTGGAAACCACAAGATAACCACAAGATTAAACAGGTGCGGATCTACGGGGGGGTTTAGGGGGTTTAACCCCCCCTTGGGCGGCCCAAAAAAACAAACAAAACAAAAAAGGAAAAAAAAAGGAAAAAAAAAAAGAAAAAAGAAAGAAAAAAGAACGCACGCTGGAGAGAAACCCTTTCAAGTGCAAATATTGTGAGAAGATATTCAACACATGATAACTCTGGATATAACTGTGTATTTAACTGTTACTTGATTTAAAAAGACGTTATCATGCACTGCTTTTTATGGTCTCCATTGTGTTAATAGATGCCAGGAAAACATCACTTACGGGGTTAAAATAAACACCCCAAAAAAAATCGGCTCGCCGCTTCGCGGCTCGTGGACGATGCTCCGCATCGTCATTATTGGTCAATCCCCCCCTTAGCAAAAAGCTAGATCCGCCCCTGAGTCATCCCCCCCAGGTGTACGAACCTGTCTACGCCACTGGACCTAGTCATGGAAAGTGTTTCATCATCACCCCTACCCTTGGAAATTTCCAACTTATCCTCAGTATCGCGCAACGCCCTGATATTTCGGGACTTTCATGAAATTGTCCCCGCTGTTGCAATTTTCCACTCCTCTCCATCCCCTATGAGAGAACAGATGACGCCTTCATCGCTTTGTATTTCATTAATCAATTACCTTCATTGGTATTTGTTTAACAGGTAGAAGAGGAAAAATCCGAATCGGAGGCTATTGCGAAATAATTCTATAAATAGCTCGCCCGGGTTTTGACGTCGCGGTTGGAATCACGAGTACAATAACACTCCGTGTGTTATGCACGCATAGCGAAGTGCCAAAAATTCGGGGAAACCCCCCATGAGAAAGATGACGCAATGCGTGTAGCACGGGCGCGTGCGTGTTTACATTCAAAATACACGGGGACAAAGGACACTTTGTACCAGGCATGTAGAACAGTGTACATGCATTCCTTTGTCGTTACTATTCCAGATCATATAAAGGTAAATGCTTACGTCGAGTCGTCTCACAATCGTTACGAGCTACATGCAGAGTAAACGTATCGCGAGTGTCTACAGTTTCTCTTGTTTCGTTTTGACGTGAAATAGTACATAGCAAAAATGAGGATTCAAGACTGGTATATCGCCGCGGCCGCCCTGCTGACATCCGTTGCAGTGGAGATGGTTTTGTCAGCGAAAGTGGTAAGCATTAATTAGCTGGAATTTTTGTTCTTTTGTTTTAATCATTGATTGTTTATATCAAACTCAATCGTGTTGCTAAGCTCTATCACAGTTGACACTTTCAAATATTAAAGCTAATCAAATTAGATGTCATGGATTGTTATACTTATACTTCATGTTCTATTCGCCGTCGTCATGATTTTTTAAACTTTTTATTAATCAGATGGTCTTTAAATGAAAAAAGTACATAGATCTATACCATTTTAGACTCGCTGAATAGGTGTTCACAAATGCATTCAAATTTATCGAACCTGCTCCCCAGCCGAGCCTGGTAGTATTCACTAACACGTTACAAGCCATTATTTGTCAGCTATCAGAACGAAATTTGCATATATTGTAGGCCTATTGCTTTATGCTTTATCTGACAAGTGACGAGCTTCGGGGTCAATTGCAAGCAACGATTGTTGTAGAGATGTGAATACAAATTCTTAAAACATTTTGTAAATTGATTTAACCATGGCTCGCCCTATCATGACTGTGCGTGCACACGGTAATCGCTGTGTAATAGCACTCGTGTATTCGCGTGGGTATGAGTCACTCCGAGTCATGTGCATCTCGACTTCTTTGTTTCTCGATCCTTAGTCATTCTGTCTGTCTTCATCAATATTCCCCATTGTGATGTTCGTTTTTTAGTGTCCTCTTTATTATATATGCGTTGTTGTTCTTCTTCATTCTTTCACTTGCTCGATCTCCTCATTAATCTCTAACTTCCTGCTTCTTTGAAACGGGATATTCCACTCTTTCCGCATCCTTCTCTTCTCATCTTACTCTTTCAATAGCGGATCCTGGCACTCGCTCTGGTTATGCATGGGTTTGCCATTAGGCGGAGACTGTGGTGGCGGGGGTGGTGGTCATTGTATGTGTGTGTGGGTGGGGGGGGGGGGGGGGGAGTTCGTGCGTTCTTACCGTGTTCGGAATGCTCGAGGTCCTTAATGTGGATCTATCCCAAATTCCATCTTCACTTGATGTATCCTGCTAAAAGCCTTTTGTGCCCTTCTTTTTAAATTCTATTTAAGCCAGTGAGCCCAGGGAGAGGTCAAGGATTTTTGGAAAAGTGGGGCACAATTCGGGAAAAACCCATACATAATAGGGCATGTTTTTAAAGGAGGGGGATATATTGTATCTTGTGCATTTATGTCGGTCACTGAATATATGCCTTGTTTTTCTGCCCTTTCTCCTACCGCTTCTTTTTTATTGTATTTTGTATCTCCCTTTATTGTTTTTTTTTGGGGGGATTTTAATGTCTAATATCCATGTTTGTCTTTGCAGCCCATCACGTCTTGCCCGCTGAATCACTACGCCGTCCTCAATGATGAGGGGAACGGTATCTCGTCATGTCGAGTATGTGACTCCTGTCCGCCAGGCTACGGGGTAGTTCAGCCCTGCTCGCCCACTAAAAACACCGTCTGTGGACTCTGTGATATGGGTAATTACTGCTTTTGGAAACGTTTTAATCAATCGTCATTAAATGCGGAGTAGTTACTCTTGATCACAGATGAAAATCCCTACTAAACCTCAGGCTTGAACTAGGCCTATGTGAATTCGAGCAAATCGTGACAGTGTTATAAGTGGAAGTGTAATGTTATGAGGAGGGGTGGGGAGGGGGCACTGCCGCACCGATCGATGGATGTAATGCGAGGGAGTGAATCGACAGAGCAGGGGGCGGTAAGGGGGTTATGTCATTCTGAATCCCCCCCCCCCCCCGTTTTTCAATGCTTTCATTCTCCCGTCCCACCATTCCTTCACACCTTTCATCCTTCTAAAGCAGTTTTCCGCTTTCAATTGGGAGGGGGGGGGGGGGAATACCCATTTCGCTATTTTCTTGTGATAAATAATATGTACGTATAAAATATACAAATACTCTATGGTAATCTTATACATTGGCCTAAATCCTCTTTACATCAAATATCTTCCTTATCTTTCAACAGGCACATTTTCAACTACAGTAAGTGCAACGGCCAGCTGCAAACCTTGTCAAACTTGCCAGAGTGTAGGCATGGTGAAAGAGTGTAGTCCCATATCAGATACTGTGTGTATGGAACATTGCCCGTTTGGTAAGTAGTTTAATTTACTTCACAGTACCTTATATTACACCTCAGTCAATCACACCGCCAAACCAACAGTAGTTGGTGTTGTGTCCGGGGGGGGGGGGGGCACTCCCAACATGACTGGCTTCGCACCCGCGTCCAAGCGTCGAAATGGTGTCCTTTACAGCTATACGGCGTGGTCGACGTATTCAGGTTCATATGTTTCGTTCCGGTAGTTGTATCTTTTAGATTAAAACACTTTGATCTTTTATTGGTATAGGGTTAGGGTTAGTATTCAGTGAAATAGTACCTTGAGCAATTTGCGTCAATGTTTTCAAAGCCAATTATAACAATTTAGAGGTGTTTAAATTTAAAATGTGTGATACGCCTTTTAGGGTCAATTTCGGAAAATGTGCGATACATACGCCATTAGGTTCATTTCAGAAAAGGTGCGATACGCCATTTGGGTCCATTTCAGAAGTTCATGGACACGGGTGGGTAGCACTTGTGTATCGTTCTCGATGTTGTGTGTGCCTGGCGTATAATTGGGATGATAACCACGCCTGATGATAACTCGTCTCAATGCCACTCGAATATCAGGGCTGTATATAATTATGTCATCATCATTATGTTGTAATGGATGACTCACGTCATGAGCCCATTTGGACAGATATTAAAATGTATAGACATAGTTACTGTTATTGCTCGCTTAATTCTATTTATTACTCAAAATAGCAGAAATGAGTAAACCGTTTAGTTCATTATGATAGCCTATAGTGATTTGCGAAGTTATGAAATGAGAAATTACAAACACCCGCCGGTAAATAGGAAAGGAATTCAAGTTATACCAGAGAATTCCAACTCCCTGGTTATACTTTTTCTTTTATATGTCGCCGGGATTTCTTGACATTTTTTGAAATCTTATCATTATTTATTCTTGCCATTGCTGATCATACGGTTTCCAACCTCCAAAGCCCTACACAATTTTAAAAGCTTGATACTAGTATAACGTATAAAGCCATGCAGACATGGCAAATTAGGGAAAGCCAATGCAAGCCATCCATCAGAAAAAGGTTGTTGTTTGGTTGTTACATTAACTGATTTTGTTTCAAATCCAACAGGCGAGTACTTCGATCCTACAACGCTTTCCTGCCAACGATGCTCCTATTGCTTCCCCGACCGCCTCTACGCCCGAACAGCCCGCGTAGTCGACTGCCAGCGACAGGGGCTCCACATTGACCACCAGTGCTCACCGCTACCTGGTGCCGATGCGGTCGGCGTTGTGCATTCGCGGGTTGTAACCGCAGATCGGCACCGCAGCGCTGCCGCGGCCAGGCGACATAGAGGCCGCACGGTACATACCTCTACCGTGGACAGAACAGCGCAACGTGCAGAGATGAATGGTAGGAGACAACCGGCACCGGAAAACCAGAATAATAACGGTAGGTGAAGAATTGGGGAAACGACACTAAAACTCACAGAATCTCTAAAATATTGCTTGGGAAAAAATAAATCATAATGAGGCTGACAAGCTTCCTTAAAAACCAAGTACTCCTTGGAAATGAAGATATTACCATAATATGAACGAGGCGCTTGTATCCTTGTACAATAGTATTATCTCCAATGGGAAAAACGATCTTCATGATAATAACATTGAGCAACACATTAATAACATTTTGTTTGTTGCTTTGTTTCTCCACAGATGAAGCCTATCTCGACGTGGTCCCGTCAACTATTCCTCTTTTCCGAAGTACCGAAGCCCCTCCTCTGTTTGAAGCTAGACCTATGAGACCCGACATACTATTCGATCCTTCAAAAATTGAGACGTCAGCAAAGTCCGGGGTACAATTTACTTCAACAAATGCATACGATAGTAAGGACCAAGCATCGGGGGTATATATTGATACTACGAAGCATGACTTTGACCCATCAAGTATTCCCAAATCTTATAAACAGGAGTCCATAATTCCTTACTATCACTCGTTGACTTCGACGGACGTCGTTCTCCTAATCGTCATCGTCATCATTGTCATGCTGATCTCAATCGTGATAACGGTTTTATCGTGTTACTGTTGGATGAGCAGAGGTAAAAACTTGCATGGACAAAAGGTTAAGGCAATCAGCTCGAAACCGCCATCGAATGCGTGGTCGTACCAGGACATGATGCCGTCGTCGTTGACAGAGCACCTGATCCAAGACACACCGCCGCAGACGAGGAAACTCATGACATGTGTTTGAGTGCGTCACGAAAGATTCAAGCAGACACCTAAATAAACTTTATTACAAGAAACAGATATATTTTCTATCGAACTCCCTATACGACATGGGTTAGAGGGAGTGACGAAAGATCCGAGTGGACACTGAGCAAACGCTATTGCAAGGAACAGAAACATATCTCTCCTGTCCTACTCCCTAATAACCGTTGCACTCGAGGCGCCAGTTTCCTGACGCATGTTTCCTGACGCATGACTGCGTCAGCGACTGGCACGGCAGCCCTTGACGCGACACTTGAGACTGAAATACCGTATGAATACATGAAGAGATTATTTTTGCTGTGGTGTCGTTATTTTGCCATCTAGGCATGATGGCTTTAGCCACTTTCAAATACATGTACAGGTGTATGTGAGTTTTCAGAAACAAATGGGGTAAATGCAATCGTAGGGCGACATATCTTCCAGGACATTATAAGGGGAATATTCTATTGATACTGACTCATCATAAAGATGTTGCCTTCAATGTGGAAGATCATATTTATGTTTACAATTCTACAGTACTATAAATATTACCACCACCACCAATACTACTACTACTACTACTACTACTACTACTACTACTACTACTACTACTACTACTACTATTCCCATAATTACAACTACCACTAATTCTTCTACCAATATTTCCATCTAAGCAGCTGCGTTATAATAAGAGTGACCAAATTTTAATAATGCAACAGACAGTAGGCATCAGCATATCATCGTATTTTTTGATATTGCAGTTATGATTATATTTGGATATTACTGGTAATAATCATTGGGTGTACCATATTTATTGATTTTTTTTCTTGAATTCCATTTAGAACAACATATTCATCTCAATGCAATGGGCTTTTTAATCTATACGCATTAGATAATAATTGGAATTGAAAGTACGATGGATCAAACTCAAAACAGAGCAGAAAACGTTGGAAAATTTGCCATAATCTTAAATGTAGAACCCTTATAATTCAATATTAGTCTTTATATCTGATCTTACAACATTACTAAACCAACGTAAACTACGGGAGGAGAAGAATAGTTCTTCATGTAACTACGACTCGGACTATAACAACTTTAATAGAAATATGTATTTTTTTATAATGTCACGATTGATTACCTATATTGTACATAATTATGTAAGGTCTTCGCACGCGTATAGTGTATACCTGGACTCGTATCACGATGCACCTGCCTTTCTGAGTTTTCAATGTAAATAATTATTTGTCAGTTTGTCAGTTTGTCAATTCGTCTTTTAATATACAGTATACATGTAGTATGGGTTGTATGTATAGCCTTTGACTTGTAGTCGAAGGTTCGTTAACCGAATTTTAAAACAAAGCAATAATACTCCAAGTTTGCCGTTGTTTGCTAGACTCGCCAATCAGTCTTTTGCTTTTTATTTTTCAATTTTTAACCGTTCCAAATGGCATGATTGACTTTTCAAAACGCGCATCGCTTATCAGTTGTTTTAGGATATCTCATCGTTCGTGCCAAATTTAAAACGTGGCAGTTGCAACGTGGCAAAGGTTGATCATCTCGCATGATTTACAGTAAACATTATTAAGATGTTTGTTCACGTAGGCCTGTTCGTTTATATAACAGTTTTTTTTAATGATCGAATACGAACGTGGGAAACTTCAATGCACATGTACGCATTATTCAGCATTAAACACGTGTGTTATGAAGAAAGGAGTTTATATAGCACATGTTGTATTTTATCTTCTATAAAACTCTACCAAAAACGAAAGAAACATTTGGCTCTGTGATGTAATACTCAATACAATATCACTGGAATGTCCCTATATTTTATAGCAGAATATCTCGTAATATTACTATAATCCTAGCCAATTTATAATTTTTATGTATCACGATAAGCCGCAATAATGGTCGATTGTTTATAGCATGGAGATTGTTTCGAATTTTCTTGAATTTTATCGAGAACTGTTTTAATGACTGTGTTTTTTACAGTTTTGGTATTTCAAAAATGTTAATTTATTTTCCTAATTCAAATAAAAAACGATTAAACTCAAATTGGTAATTTGTGTACAAGTGTGACTCATTATAGGCATATTCTGTGTGTAGGCTTATTTTAAGTACCTATACAAATGGGTGGTGTTTACAAGTTTGGACGTTGGTGATAAAAATGACGTCATCGAGTATTTTTGTTTGGTACCGTATTTTTTGGCGTGAACAAAGAACAGTTTGAGTCGAAAGAAATCCTTTGGTCATTTGGTATTTTCGGATTGATACATCACATGTCGCTGAATCCTTTGTGTTTTATTTCTCGTTAATGCAGAGGAATGGACATTCATTCTTTTCAGGAGTCCTTCTAGGGCTCACTTCCTTTTGGAGTTGAATCCACTTCAAATTATATTGGAATTCACTCAAGTATTTGCTTGAGTTATTCTTTTGAGAATGGATTCTACTTTTTTTAGCATGGATTTCCACTCCATATCGAAGTGATCCGTGATATATGACTCATTCAAGAGTGCATTTCCTCTCATACTGTACATTGAGCATGTCGAGAGAGAGAACTGATTATTTGATTATGATGAAAGTTGTTGTTGATGTCGTTGTTGTTGATGATGATAATTATAATGATGATGATGATGATGATGATGAAGGTTGTGAAGATGGTGATGATAATGATGAAGATGATAAATGATGAGAAATTGAGAATGATGATCATAATGATAATCATGATGAAGAAGATGATGATCAATGATGATGATGATGATGATGATAATGATGATGATGATGGGGTGAGGGTACATGAAGGTTACGACATTAATACTGAAAACATTGTAATTAATGTTTATCATAAGCAGGATCCGACAGGATAAAGATTTAAGGTAATCAAACATGACAAGAAGCGCCTGCCAATCGTCCAAAATTCAGCTTTTATTTTATTTCATTTCATTTCAAGGAACATACATGAGTATAAGGGTAACACAAAGACAAGAAAACGAAGTAAGGTATCAAATGTGATAACAAAAGATAAAAAAACCGTCAACTAATGCCTGAGATCACCAAAAGAAATAAAGCTTCTGTATATTATTAAGGCTCTCCTCATTAGCTTATGGTATACATCGATCCACTGCATATATCTATTCATCCTATATAAATGCAATGGTTTGCGATTTTTGTTATTGTTATTGTTATTTCATATCTTTGATTTTGGGGAAACTTTTGGGGATAAGTAGTAAGATAAGCGAATATCGTTAAGGTCTGGCTTTAATATTTGAATGAAAACAAGGATCGTGAAAGGTAATAATCAGCAGCGAATAAACTTTGTTTAGGGAACTTGGACTCCAGACTTGATAACTTTATTGATAACAGTAACGTGTTGGATTTTAAATTGTATTGTAATGAATATTTGACTTTAAAAGTAAATGTATACTTTTCAAACCTTTAAAAAAAGTATCTGCCGTTAATTTTGATAAGACATAATTAAAATGAAACATCAGACAGTTTCAAACTTTTGTGTTTTGAATGTTAACGCCCTTTTTTGTTGGGGGAGATTAAAAAAAAAAATGCTTTGTTAGAACAAAGCTAAATGAACTAAGTTTTATTTATTTATTTATTTAATTGTCTCTAAGTGTTTTTTTTTTCTTGATTATTTGCTGTCATTGTTATTCTGGACTTAGTTTGGATAATACCATTTCGAATTACCAATAGAGCTATGCTGTGACCTCGGTACGAAACTACGTATAAATGTTATGTGCAATTTGTCTAAATTTTATGAATTTATTAAGTCATTGTCATCTTGAAACTACAAGAACCACAGAAATATTTCTTCTTAATTCTCGGTATTTGCAGATATATTTTTACGAATATGTATGTCGAAATCTAATGACTCATATATTATAACAGTTATTTCACTTTCGTTTCATGTTTTCTTTCTTAACTTATGAAAGAAAAATACACAATCAACCCTAATACATTTTTTCATTTTGGAAACGAGTATTTCAAAAAATTGCGACAGATGTCGTTTCCTGGGCAAGTCTACCATCTAAAGATCAAGGTCACCGTATCTTTTTATATGGAAGATTAGTGTTTCCATGTTGACACGCATTTAATGGGGCGGTCCAAGACCTTGGGGGGGGGGGGGTCATGAATTTTATGTTAACTGTTCAATGTTATTATATTTGTCATTTGCTCGCTGTTATCTTGGCTTTCGATCTTGTTTAACTTCCACCCGTTTCTATCGTTATTTCATATCTTTTATTTTGGGAAAACTTTTGGGGATATATAGTAAGATAAGCGGAAATCGTTAAGATCTGGCTTTAATACTTGAATGAAAACAAAGATAGTGAAAGGTAGTAATCAGCAACGAATAAACTTTGTTTAGGGAACCTGGACTCCAGACTTGATAACTAAATTGATAACAGTCATGTGTTGGACTTTAAATTGTATTGTAGTAAATATTTGACTTTAAAGGTAAATGTATACTGTTCAAACCTTTAAAAAATGTATCTGCCGGTAATTTTGATGACATATAATTAAAATGAAACATCGGACAGTTTCAAGATTTTGTCTTTTGAATGTTAACGCCCTTTTTTGTTGGGAGGGGGGGGGGGGTCACAAAAGAATAAGTAAATGCTATGTTATATCAAATCTAAATCAACTCAGTATTTGTTTTCTTGATTATTTGCTGCCAATGTCATTCTGGACTTAGTTTGCATAATGCCAATTTGACCTCGTAACGAAACTACGTGTAAATGTTATGTGCAATTTGTCTAAGTTTTATGAATTTATTAAGTTATTATCATCTTGAAACTACATGAATCACAGAAAATTTTCTTCGTATTTCTCGGTATTTGCAGTATACTTTAACGGATATGTATGTAGAAATCTAATGACTCATATTTTATAACAGTTATATCACTTTCGTTTCATTTTTTTCTTAACTTATGAAAGACAAATACTTAATTAACCCCTAACATTTTTTACTTTGAAAACAAATATTGCAACAAAACCCGACAGTCGTTTCCTGGGCAAGTCTACAGATCAAGGTCACATTATCTTTTCAAATGGAAGATTATTTAGTAGGCTTGCGGGTGCACCATGTGAGAGAGAGGGAGGATTGAGGAGTCCTAAAAAGGACTCTCGGTAATCTTTCTTGAGGGTTTTTCAAGACTATACCAACAGTCCTCATTCAGGACTACAAACCCTTAAGAAAGATTACCGAGAGTCCTTTTCAGGACTCCTCAATCCTCCCTCTCTCTCACATGGTGCACCCGCAAGCCTACTGTATATCTACATCACCATGCAAGCCGACACTTACAAGCAGCATGGAAGATTATTGTTTTCCATATTGACGAATACGCATTTAATCGGGTGGTCCAATACCTGGGGGAGGGGGGGGGGTGGGTCGTGGATTTTCTGTTTTTTCCTGTTCATTATATTTGTCCCTTGCTCTTTGTTATCTTGGCTTTCGATCTTGTATAACTTCCTCCTGTTTTTATCATATCTTGAATACTGACGACTTTCATATTTGTATTGAAAGACAAATACTTAATTAACCCCTAACATTTTTTACTTTGAAAACAAATATTGCAACAAATCCCGACAGTCGTCGTTTCCTTGTATTAAAAATGTGCTATCACATTTCAGTCTTTGTACTCATTCTGATAATCTCACTCACTATATACAATCATGAAAATATAACAAAACCATCTTAATGTTGATATACCTGCTCATTAACTTATTAACTTACACAACTGATTAGATTATATTTTTGACATTGTATGAATGCGTATCATATAGATTGATTAGCCGTTACATATGAGCTAGAGTGTGATTAATGCCTGTAGATATACCTATAACCTAAAAACCTGTATTCACTATGATACAACCTAAGATTGTAATTGTTTATTATCGACTTTTAAATAGGGCTATACCCCCTGGAAAATACTCCCTGGGCAATTACCACCTAGGGCAAAATAACCCGGACAACTAACCAGACAACCACCCTGTAAAAGAACTACGCCATAGGGCAACTAATCGTGGGATAGTTCCCCCTTATATAACTGCCTAACGATCACCCCCCCCCCCTATTTGATTATTCTGTAGATAGTTATCCAATGGTTATTGTGGACATTTTTAAGGGGGTGGTCAGCCGGTGATAATTGACCAAGGTGGGTCTCTAAAGGGGGGGGGGTGTGGGGTGCGACACCCCCCTCCACTGTCAGGATATTGTCGGTAAAATGATAATGTAATGAAACGTCAAAGCTTTCAGCGCTTTGCGTGGGGGGGGGGGGGCGAAACTGAATTCAGACAAGGGTTAAGTCAGAGTCGAGAACAGCACAACGAATCGTCTTCTTTCCCTAATAATTTGTTTAATGAAACGTCTAAGCCTCCCCCCGCTATAGGGAGCGCGCTTCGCGCTCTTTAAGTGATTCGCTTGCTCACTACCGCCCCCCTAAAATAAGATCCTAGCTACGCGCCTGCATTTAAATATATAGCTATGATGCTGACTAAGTTGACGAAATGTTTCGTATATTTATGTCGTCGAGGAAAATGACCATTTGCGCACAAGTACTTTAGATAGTTCATAGGAAAAACAATTTAGCCTTCGGCCCCGGGTTTATACTTATAGGGTTAAATTTGAAGACATTGGGACATTAAATTTTGTCGGTAATTGGTGGCTAGTTTTGTCGTTAATCGGTGGCCTCTACACCCCCCCCCCCCCCTCCCCCACTGGAAAAGGTCTGTGGGCTGTGGGGGAAGCAGAGGTCTCCCTATACCACCAAACATGTGGAAGCCCATACTATTCTACTGGTACAGTTCTTGGAGTTTCATTGATCTAGGGAATAGGGGGGGGGGGGGGGGTTTACCAAACGAATGGGATTCCCCATTCTCATGCATTCATCACTGAGTTTCACGTTTGCCCATAAAGTCGGAATTCAGTTTTATTACCACTTTACATGAAATGATTGCGATAATATGATTTGTAGTTGATAGATAATTCGTTTATGTTCTCAGCCGGAGCTTTATTAATCAATAACAGTTGATCATTAGAGTTTTGGGCCCCGTCTGATAAAGAGTTAATATTAATCACAACTTATTTGAGATTAATGTAGCATCGCAACTATGTACATACGAGAAAGAAGACTATAGACTTGCGATTGATTGGAGGACTGCAACTCTTCATAAGAGGGGCCCTGAGAAGATATAAACTTGATATTTTTAATAACAAATCATAACGTCACAATCTGTTCTTTTGGAAATGTGTGACAGAAATTTATTCAAACTTTATGAGCAACAATTTAATACCTGTGTAATCCAGTGCATAAATGACAGCAATCACGGTGCATCTTCTTATGTTCTTTATATTTTATTTTACCCTTACCAAATAGTGAAAAAGCTTTATGTTCGCACGCAAGCCGTGGGCCCAAATTCGGAAGTAAACCAGAATATTCATTTGTTCATGTGCAGGGGATTCCCTTCTATTACTACGCATTGTGTAACTATACGGTGGAATGCAATGTTGTTTATTCTTCATTTTGGGTAGGCGTTTGAAGAGTAAACAATTCAAAAATGGTATCAAAGAATGCCTTACTAAAGGGGAATATGTGTTAGCAGTGGCGTACGCAGGATTTTTTCAAGGGGGGGGGGGGGGGGTTTAAAATCGGGCCCAAAATTTCGCAACGACTCAGCTTTATTATTTTGCTCCCGAAAATGTGAAAATCGCGCCAGCCGAAAAATCGCTCAGTGGGGGGTAAGAGGACACTTTTTGTTTTGTTTTTTGGAGTCCAAAAAAAATCGCAACGACTCAGCCAGCCGAAAAGTCGCTCAGTGGGGGGTAAGAGGACACTTTTTTTTTTTTTTTTGCTCTCGAAATTTGAAAATTTGACATTTTGTTCCGTTGGGGGGGGGGGTAAGGTCACCTTTTTTAGGTCAGCCATTGGCATATTTTTTTTTTTTTTTTTTTTTTTTTTTTTTTTTTAATAAAAAAAAAAACACCTCTAAAGGGGGGGGGGGGTTTCACACAAAAAATACAGAAAACATACACATTAAAAAAATTCAAGGGGGGGGATTAACCCCAACCCCCCCCCCCCCCCCCTGCCTACTCGCCTGTGTGTTCTGTGCATGAACAATCACGGGTTGATATTTAAAAAAGCCAAAGAACGAGGTGAAGAGTCGGAAATAGTGAGATAGAAGGAGCTAAATAAATGGGAAGTTGTCTCACATCTCCAACAGAGATTGGTTCGTCTCCCCCTGCCTCTCTCTTTCTCTCTCTCTCTCCCCTGCCTCTCTCTTTCTCTCTTTCTCTCTCTCTCTCTCTCTCTCTCTCCCTGCCTCTCTCTTTCTCTCTTTCTCTCTCTCTCTCTCTCTCTCTCTCCCCTGCCTCTCTCTTTCTCTCTTTCTCTCTCTCTCTCTCTCTCGCTCTCTCTCTCTCTCTCTCTTTCTCCCTCCCTTCTTCCTTCCTCCGATAAAATGAACACAAATAAGTGATTATCTGTAGGAGCCTCTTTCAAAACTTAGATATTTTTTTTACCCGGTAATAACAAGTGATTCAATGCTAATTCCTCAGATATATATTTGTATGTGTATTTGGTAATTTGCATGTAATATCAACCATGATTTTCTTGTTCAAATCAAACTTCAGTCCACCGCATAACGAATACTCAATAACTTTTCACATGTCAGGTTCGTAAAATCGTGTCTCAGGCACTGTTGTTACATAACACGGAGAGCAAAATAATACGAAATACATATGTATGTATGTGGTATACGTTTATTATATTACTTTGCAATTTCGCTGTAAATATTTACAGATCTAATGATGTCTTGTCTTGTGAGTGAATAACACTCTATAATGTAAATTAAAATCATTTTATTTGTCAATTTTTATTTCAAAAATATATAATCATCCATTATTTTATGCATGGCTTGAGGGACATCATATACCATTACAATGTATAATGATAATAATAATAATCATAACAATATGATAACATTAGATACTTATATAGCGCACAATCACCTCACAAGGTGCTCAAGGCGCTCCTAAAAATGTTCGGCTCTGTTAGGCTACCGTCTACTAAGTTCACAGTATTCAAGGAATTCCATCCTACCGGTATTATATACCTGGGTGGAGAGTGGCAAATGAAGATAAATGTCTTGCCATATGACATCAGCGCCGCAGCGGGACTCGAACCATGTGATCCACAGTCCGACAATGTGTCCACTTTATCCACCACGACACCTCTAGTTTGTAGATTAAATTGATCATTCTTTACCATCCATTGTTGATAAAAGCACGCAGTAAATGATCTAACATATCATACATGGACACCTGTTATTAGCATTTGATTCGTGCTTTATATTAATGTTTCGATAGATATTTAGTGCGTATAGGTCTGCACATTTTTTGTATTTTAAGTGAGTATTTTAAGACCTGGTATTATCGTAATAATATAAGAGTTTCAATTTCAAGTTTATTTTAACTTCCGTTCCTACATCTTAAATGGGTTCAAACATAGGTTTAAACCCAATTGATTTCTATAAGATATGCGCAAACAAAAATCGGTAATGAAATCTATGTACATAGAATGTAAAATGCAATCATGTATACATAAATTGTGAATGCTAGTTTTGGCGTATTTTAGTAATATACACACAAGTGAACATGGTACATAAAATGATGTTAAATCAAATTTTATAGAATAATGCTCATATTTTCTTCAAAACGCTTAACTACATCACCTGCCCACGATTCTCTACCGCCAGAGAATTGATGTACGTTTGTTTTCTTAAATAGACTTATGATTAAAATTGATTGATAATATGAAGCTCTATTCAGTTTACTTTTTCTCTCGTCTTTACCATTCTTTCGTATCTTGTCCTTTATGTTGGACAAATTTATTTTAGTATATTGAAAAACTCACATTTGGATACACGCTACATCTCTTGTTTAAATCGGATATTTTTATACATGTTTCTGAACAATTTGATTCACATAGTGCTACATACATTCACTTGTGTGAGCCGAATTATTAAATTAAAAAAACCTCGGACACGTTGGAGATCAATAAAAGATATACACGAATCCAGAGTAGAAAGAAATTAAAAAATGCAAAATGATACAACAAAAGCTATACATACTATATACATGTCTCAACCGTACTGTCGGTATTAAAACTATTTCATATATTTTGTGTGTATTGTTATCATATCAATGCTGTTTTCGTATGTTTACCCCTTGCTCCAAAAGGTTATACGATTTATATTTTGGCTGTTTTCTTAAAATATTAAGACCCAATAAGAACAAAATTAATGACTTATAGATGTATTTAGTATTTTTCTGTATATGTCTGACAGACAATACGTATTCACCAACGTGAGACTATAGTCTCTGGCCTACCCAACAAAAGCATGTCAGTTGCTTCCCGGAATTCTGCGCCTTCTTTTCTCTGTATGATATCATAATTATGAATTAATTATACCCATATGCTACGATGCAGGGTGTTTGGGGGAGGGGGGGGGGGGGTTGAGGCTACAAATTACCCCTCTGAGAATTATTAGCGAATTAACGTGATGAAAAAAAGAAAATATAGCTACGTCTTGTCACTTTTGGATTAGGTTGCAATTTGATTCAATAGCCGATTATGGCAAATGATAAAAAGATATATTTTATATGAAAAGTGTGTGATTTCTTTTTTTTATTATCACAAAATCAAAGATTTCTTACATTTCGATAAAGAATATATTCATATAATTCCATTTCGTCCAGCCCTCTATACGATATACCTCAAAATGTATATACGGAACTATAGATATTTAGGCATAGTATCCGAAGAGGAAAGCGCAAACGCCGGCCAGTACGATGCCGTTGACTGCGGCGATCTTTTGCCACTTCGGGTCGTCCACAGCCGAAGCTTTTTTGACCGTCTCCTCCTCCACCTCCTTCGTGTCCTTCTCATCGATGTCCATCGGTGAGCCACTGATACCACACAGGATGTTCCAAGCTTTCCATTTGAACCCGGTTCGGCTTTGCGTCTCTGAAATGACAAAGGAGGGAAAAGATCAATTTTTGAAGAAAAATATAATTGTGCTACGAAATGGGTAGCAAATCACACTGAATTTGTAAAATTAAACGTTTTGAGGATTTATTATCCTTTCGTCGCAGCCAGTGACTGTATTAAGTAAAAATGTACTGTTATAATAAAAACATACAAATAATAAAAACATATCTACATAGCCCTACTTAAAAATATATAATTCCAATGGTATAGCAAGAATATTTTAAGTGAACTTACATAAATGAAGCGCGTGCATAAATTCATTCAACTAAGTACACACTTAAGGGTTGTCCTTCATGATAAATTGATATCCACATTAAATTTGCACTTTAAAAAACGGTCGCCTTTGAAAAATCGACTAGAGGCAACTCCGATAGCTTTGTCTATCCCCTTTAGAAATCCGTGAACATTTCATTTTAAGTAACCCGAACATGTTTCTATATAGGATATACAATAGGGTATTGAAATCGCCTTTGAGTTGATTTTTAGAAACGGTAGTTGCGATCGTGGCTAAAAACGGACAAAGCCGGAACCACTTGTAGACCGAAACCCAAAATGTTAAAGAGTAAAATGAATCCCCGCCCTTTTGAGGCGATGCCTCTTCTTATGTCTATTTCCATACTATTGTCTTAGTCTAGGAATTAATATACCCTCCTATACTGGATAGAACAATAACAACAAGTATCATGGGCTTATGCATCTACCATACTTTAAATATATACTTATTATGTTAAATCGTGAACTCGTGTCCCGACTCCCTCCCCTCCCTGATTCAAGTTTTAAATAGCTACCACCCCTCGATAGCTCTTTTAAAGAGCCCTACCCCCCCCCCCCCCCATCCCCGTCAAAGAATTTGGAGTAGAGCCCTTGAGTATGACTTACTAAGTGCGTGTTCTCTGACTTTTTCTTCCCTCAACAGTTCGTTTTTCTTATCTTTATCGTCCTGATCGTCCGACATGATTGCACGGGGAAGCTTGGAATTTCTGGTCCACCACGTCAACCGGATCAACTGGACAGGAACGATAATAATACCAAAAAAATAATAATACTCAGTTTTTATATAGCACTTATTACAATCACAAAGCGCTTCCAAACTTGGGGATTATTACCCCGGCTTTAGCTGTGTTGCCATTGCGGCGCCCTAGCATTTCAAGGAATTAATTCCTGCCAGGTACCCATTTACATCACCCGGGTTGAGTGTGGCAAATGTAGATCAATGTCATGCCAAAGGACATTAGTGCCGCGGCGAGTCTCGAACCGCGGACCTTGTGATCGACAGTCCGATAGAAGTACATGAGAAGCCACATACAGGTTGAATATAAATAGTAGTTGTCAGGGGCGTTATAGTCACATAATAGGAGGGGGATGACCGACAAAATTGCCGACGAGTTGAGAATTTTTTCGACAAGCAAAGAGAAAGAAGAAGAAGAAGAAGACGCAGAAGAAGAACGAGAAGAAGAAGAAGAAGACGAAGAAGAAGAACGAGAAGAAGAAGAAGAAGACGAAGAAGATGAAGAGGAAGATGGAGAAGGAAAATAGGAAAAAGAAGAAGATAAGTAAGGAAAATAGCCATCTACTTTTGTTGGCTGACACAATTCCTTATTTTCTGACAGAGTGACAAATACCATAATAGACCGGTTTACTTAAGTATTCAAATTGTATGCATCAGGGCATGCTGTTTAAAGAAAGGTTATTCTTGACAACCCGAAAGCTTTCCTGAGGATTGCCCGACATAAGCCATGTTCAGCGGGGCTACCTAGTAGGAGTCAGTTAATCACTGCAGCAATAAATATTGACTTACATCATTAGTTGTCTCTAGCCGTGTTCACACGATGGCAATTTTGGTAGGCGTAAAGGTTGTGTTTAGAGCTAGTCCGCGTAGTTTGGTAAGGTCGGCCTAAAGGCACTATGAACATGACTGATAAAGAAAGCGGACACAATATACAGTTCCTCAGGTAGACAAAGGAACATCCCTTCACTGCTATAATATGTAAAAATGTGTAGATACAGGTGTCACATGCATATTCACCTTTTTACATAATAGCAGTGAAGGGATGTTCCTTTGTCTACCTGAGGAACTGTATATTTTGTCCGCTTTCTTTGTCCGTCATATTCACAGTGAGGTCGGAGTAGTGACCGTCTGAAGGATAATCTAAACACGATGTTTATTGCTGCAGGGAGAAACCTACGCCGACTAGGAAGCCACGTCTGAACATGGCTATACAGTGAACGTCAAAAGACCATTTTCGTACTGTAATAAAATTTAATGCACAAATCTGTGTTAAGTGCCTTGTTACAAATTGTTTCATTCATCTGTTACGGATAATTGTATTTCAATAGTCAGAATGCGGATTGCATACATTAATTAAGGCCCGAATTCACAAAGCAAGGTTTGAGCTCAGACCAAGGTTTGAGCTCAAACCTCCTTTTCGTCCTTGTTTTCACGAAGTGACGGTAGTGAGAAAAATCGTAACGCAAAGTGAATGCAATTTTTTTTCACTACCGTCACTTCGTGAAAACAGCGACGTTTTGTTTCGCCAAACCTCCTTTTGTTCTTTACAAACCAGGTTTGTAAAAAATGCGTAAAACGCGTCATATGACGTACGAAAACCTTGGTCTGAGCTCAAACCTCCTTTGTGAATTCGGGCCTTAGTGTTGTTAGGTAGGACAGCCATAATGTTCGTCCTACCTATAAGCATTATTGTATGCAATTCGCATTCTGAATATTGAAATACAAGTATTCGTAACAGGTGTATGAAAGAATTTGTAACATATATTTGTGCATCAAATTGTATTACATTCGCTAAACCTTTTGTTGCCTTTAATAGGCCATTTTCGTAGTGTAACCAAATTTAATGCATAAGTCTTTGTGAAGTGCCTCAATACAAATTATTCCATTCACCTGATAAGAATAATTATATAAGTATTTCACGGTTAGCACATTTCCGAACTGCATACATTAATTGTTGCCAGGTAGGACACAAATTATGGCTTGACCTACCTAGCAACACTTATTACATGCAGTCTGCATTTTGACTATTGATATACTATTATTTTTATCAGGTGAATGAAATAATTTGTATTGAGGCACTTCACAAAGACTTATGCATTAAATTTGGTTATATTACGAAAATGCCCTATTAAATGTGGTGGATGTCGTTTCTTTCGTGATGCAAGTCGTTCCTTTCATCAACGCATTTTTATCTTAGCTAATCATTTGAATGATTTGGCTTATAATCTCTGTTTGTACACCATCCAATACATAGGTCCATAATTGGGAATTATGTTTACCCATAGTTCTGTATTGAAGTACTTTGTGTGCATGCGTGCGTGTGCGTGTGCGTGTGCGTGTGCGTGTGCGAGGGAGAGATATGGGACATAATTTGACGCTTAACTTTTGTAACTTGTGTTTAGCATGTCCTTAAAGTAAGCGTTGCCATTACATTACCTTATTTGCCGGGATAGCCGGTTTGAAGAAACTGAAGACGCAAATGAGAATGGTGGAGAAGACGTAGAGAAAAGCCGCGAAATGAAGGTAGTGGAAATTCTTGACGATGTTTGGCCTGTTATCCTCTTGACCGCAAGAGGGCACCCCATACACGAAGTCGAGAATGGATCGCGTTAGTCCGACGAGGAAACCACCTAACATTCCCCAGAAAGCTCCCTGTGTTGAAGTCGAAATAATGTAGAATTATATGGGGAAAGAAATGTATGTAAGAAAATGAGAGTGGGCATAGGTAACATAGAAATATTAATTAACACACGAATTACATTACATAGTTAGAAATCTTCTTTGAAGCCAATTATTATTTGTCGAATTTTGCATTAGTCCGAGTGTCCGACGAAGAAAAAATACAGTGAGCCTATACCCCGTACAGAAGCACAATGTGTTTGATCCTTATTTTATTCATTAGATTTTTAAAATGTTTTCCAGTTAAAGAATTTGTAACATTCGAAAGAAAAGTAATAAAACCGAAATGAATCAAATCAAGCCAGTGTTTTACTTATTCCAGATAAAATGTGTGAAAACTTACAAATTCATTGACCCTTCCCCAGAAAATGGCGGCTGTGAAGCAAGCCAACACAGATGGCGAGAGGTAGGAGAGGATAGACTGCACATAGACGAAGAGTTCGCCTGAACCATAGGCCTGGATGACGGGGATCCATAGTACCCCTACCACCACCAGTACCAGGGTGCATACTCTGAAGATGAACAATTTATATTAATTTATATCCTCTTGTTTAATACATTTCTAGAGTTAAATACGATGAAGGAAGTGTTTTTTGTTGTTGCTGACGTTATATTTCTAATGGATTATGGCACGTAAAATAACCATGCTAACTGAAAGAGAAAAGGGAGGTATAAAGTATAAGATAAACTGGATGTAGAGGAAGAGTTTTCCTGAACCACAGGCCTCAACGCCGGGGGTCTATAACTCCCCTACCACCACCAGTATCAGGATGCCTAATTTGAAGAGGAGAGGTAGATGCATGTGGATCAATTAAAGGGGACCTACTTTATTTTATTTCATGTTATTATGTACTTGTACATTTACATGATTGAATAAACGTGAGAGAGAGAGAGAGAGAGAGAGAGAGAGGAAGAGAAAGAGAGAGAGAGAGAGAGAGAAAAAAAAATATTCTAGTGACAGGATGGATAACACTTGTAAGCTGATAATTAGAGCTTATTTATTGACCTTGCATTTTTTTCTTCATTTTTTTTCTTTTTTTTCATTTTTCATTTTTTTCATTTTCATTTTTTTTCTTTATTTTTTTCCCCATTTTTTTTCTTCATTTTTTCATTTTTTCATTTTTTTTTCTTTTTTGAGGGGGGGGGGGATATAATATGAAGAACCGGCCAGATTCTAGACTACCCTATGGTGTATGTCCTAAAGAAATCATATTCGGAATACGTCAAACGTCAATCTCGTGTTCGCACATTTCAATACGCACAATGCCATTGATAATTGGCATTTATAAGTTGATTTTCCGAGGTAGTTCCGATGGTGTTTCTATTATTATACTGTGCTTTGTGATCCGTCTCCGTGTTTCAACTTACTTTCCTACGATGACGAGCTCGAGTTCGGTCGATGTCGGCCTGATCTTGTACCAGATGTCGAGGACGAACATCGAGCTGGAGGCGTTGAAGATGGAGGTCAACGAACTTATCATGGCAGCTAACATGGCCGCAAGCATCAAACCTTTCAAGCCTATGAAAAATAACATGTATTATCATTTTTGTTGTTGGTGGTTGTGGTGTTTTTTTTTTTTTTTTTTTTTTTTTGGGGGGGGGGGGGGGGAGCGGAGGGCTCGCAATTAGCCTTATTTTCAACCACCCACCCCCTCCCCCCCGAAAAAAAGATATATAAGATTATACGGCTTAGACAATTTCATTCATTTATTTACATGTATATACTTTTCTATTTTATTTTATACAGGGCCCCTTGGAAGAGCAATACTCGTTATTGAAAGGGCCACCCTGTATAAAGAAGACTTGAATAAAAAAAAATAAAAAAATTTATCTATTTATCTATTCAGAGAAATAACAATCTTCTGAAAATGTCAAAGCAACCCCTTTTCTTTTCGCTTTTCAACTTATTTTAGACAAATAACTATTCTCAAAAATGAAAGTGTTTTTTCGTTTATCTCATATTTGATTTATCATGTTTTGTTTCATTTTGGGTTTGTATAACTTGATTTTATCTTTTGCTTCTCTTTTTTCCCTCGTTTTTTGTTGTTGTTCAAGAGACCCCTGTATCTGACAGAGTGACAAGTACCATAATAGACCGGTTTACTAACGTATTCAAATTGTATCTGATATCACCTACCTGTTGGCATCAATTCCACGACCAGTTTCGGGTAGGCGATATCTGAGCATCCGGCTGAGTTATCACAAACTCTCTCACAGATTTCAGGATCCACACAGGCAACTTCATCTGAAAAGCAAAATTAAATGTTGACATTTCTATTTTCGTTCTTTCCCTTCGGTTGAAAAACACACAGAGGGAACCGATGGTGAAACACAAATAGCGCCACCCGCGTCATATGGATAATCTCTCGTTGCAGAAAAGGAGGTAAATTATTTGTTTGGTATTTATCTTCATGGATAACAAGGTTTTAGGGAAAATTTGAGAAGATATTAATTTTTTTATATGGAGAAGACAATAAACCAACATTTTTTAAAATATTTATGAAAAAGTACTTTTTTACATTCTCCATGCGATACGTATATTGTGTATGGCATAATTCACCAAACTTGCGTATTCATATTTTGTTTTGTTTTTGCTTTATTGTTAGTATAATTACTTTAGGAATGACACTTTTATAACTAGGTTTTCATCCTCGATTTAATTTACATTGACGCTATTTCAATATTTTGCTTTGATTTGATTTGACTTGATGTGACATGACGCGGTGTGATGTGATGTGATGTGAATTGATGTGATTTAATTTCTCTTTTACCTGCAAACAAGGTCCTGCTAATCATACCAGGCCAGATCATCAAAAACATGGGAAGGATCTTTAAATAGCCCGTCATGATACAGGCTGCTTTGCTGTGATTAACATTCTTGGCTGCGAGGGTACGCTGCACAATCACCTGTATTCATATAAACATATATATAATAATTACAATAATGATAATGATGCTAAAATCATAAAGATCTTATCATTTTGTAACCGTCGACCTCAACGGATGGACAATAACTGAGAAAGCGGAAACATGGAGTCCTTTAATACAAACTGCAAAGTAATTGGACTAAGCCCGGGGAGTCCATTGATTGTGCATTGTCATACTCTCTGTCCCTTCTCCCTCTCTCTCTCTCTCTCTCTCTCTCTCTCCCTTTCTCACTTTCTCTCCCCTCTCTCTCTCTCTCACTCTTTCTCTCTACACACACATGCTCTAGATCGCTAATGTTCCCGTTCGTCGTCTACACCCCGACGTCAGGTCCATGACCTGGATCACAGGAACAGCTTCCGATACAGACCTGGTTTGTACACCAGAAGTAAACACCCAGGATGAACACTCCAAAGACCACACCCGGCCAGGGTAGGTCTGCCGTCTTGGCGTCACGGAAGATGTGCCAGGTCTCTTCAGTTGGTATACCGCATGAGGTGTTGGCGTATTTTTGTGTGGTGTTGGGGATGGCCGTCATGTACAGGAGACGCAGGTTCCCGATTCCGCCGATCTCGGCGATGGCTGCAGTTAGAACGAATAATTATCAGAAATGAAAAATATTATTGATATGAAAATTATGCTAATCGCTATCTGTACGCTATAAACGCTGTCTATACTGTCTTACAGGTACTTTAAAAAACATATGTATGTGATCAAAAGATTTCAGGTAAAATATTCTTTCGTAGAAGAGGAATAACTTGATGCACAGATGGCACTTTCGAGGACCTGAATAAAGGGTTCTTGGTACAGAAATGTATGAAAGGATTTTTTTCAATATGTTTAACATTCAGGATGTAAAAACCCAATCGTGCATACATTAAATACGCCCCCCAAAATGAGCATCCATGGCCCCCGAATTGTATTTTAGTGCCCTTTTCCAATTTTGGGCACAATAGGCAATTTGTTGTTAAACCTTTGCTTATCAGAGATGTTTTTATTTTCAACTGACCCCAGCTTTTAACAAAATCTTGGATACATCCCGGTCATGAACGACGGTTTTGGTGTAATATATTGTACATCTTTGACTATGAATTTCTTTTCCGACTCCCTACCTAGGCCCATTAGGATGAAAGCGCCGATGAGCACGACGACGGCTTGGAGAGCGTCGGTGAAGATGACGGCCTTGAGCCCACCAGCCACCGTGTAGATGGCGGTAAGGACGAGGAGACTGATCACTGAGGTATAGATGTTCCAGCCTAAGGCCTGCTGGATGACGATCGAGCCAGCGTACATCTCGCCCTGTAAGGGATTCGAAACAGATACAGGATGGATGATAGAGCGTTAGGAACAAGGAATGACGCCTGGCTGGAATGCTCCCAGGGAGTGAAGAATGTGCATCAATTGTGTGCTGGTAAGCCTGAATCCGATGACCGGGGTAATATATATCTGTAAAGCGCTTTGAGAGGGCCTTCGGTCCTGAAAAGAGCTATATAAGAAATAGCTATTATTATTATTATTCGTAAAATGGTGAGTGGTCTACATACTTTTAGAGTGTGTTAATTACAAGGTATGTGCAGATGATTTCAAAGGTGAAATATCGGATTTTGCGGTCCATGAAAATAGTACCTCACTCACTTTCTTCTAAGAAAAAGGGAGAGAGAGAGGGGTACAGGTACAAATTCTGAACACTTATTGCGTTTTGAGAATGAAAAAGTTTTCTTGATAAAGAATGAACATTCCCTGCATGACAAATTAAGAATGTATAGCAGTCACATAATACACTGGCGTATCGAAAAATAAATAAACAGGTTGCAGGCGCTCCATCCTATGTGCAGTATAAAAAATATCGTCATCCTTGATTATAACAGGGACTATTAGATTCTGCACGACGAGAACGTGGACTGCCCTTTTAAGGCAATGTGACGTCACTGCCAGTGCCTTAACAGGACTTCACATTGTCTTAAAAGGGCAGTCCACGTTCTCGTCGTGCCGAATCTAAAAGTCCCTATTATCGACTTACGGAAAGCAGGATAACAATGGCTACGGTAAGGTTGACGATGGAGATGAACGTCTGAAGACGATAACCTCCGAAGCGTAAATGAAGGTACTCGGGCACCGTCGCAATCTAGAGAGAGAGCGAAACAAACATAGAAGTGTAATTCATAACATCAAAAACATGGATTACATTTATTAACAAATAATCTTGGCGCAAACGTGAATCCGACGAAATATTGTATTGCTCTCTGAGGAAGCATGATGGCTCAGTGGTCTTGTAACTGATTCGTTAGTGCCTTTTAAAATGCGTCGATCTTTCACTACCAAGTCCCTGGTATATGACTAAAAATCATAGATCCCATGGTTGTTTATTTTCAAAAATATTTTTGCTTTCTTATTATCAATCATTTAGGAAGTACAGTTGTAACAAATTTATTTCACGCGAGAGAAACATGTGCTAGTCTTGAGACACCGAAAGTAACATGGTACTAGTATTCCATCGAGTATTATACAAAGATATAGTTATTTAGAAATCGTTCTACAGTTCATATTGTTCAATTTTTATTTTTCACTGACTTTGAAAAGATGAATACAGGTTACTCACTTCAGCTGCGAAATAGACAGGTGTGAATATGAACCCAAGGAGTAGCAGTGCCATGAGAGCCTGCAAGAAAATAATAAAATTAGAAACATAGTATGAAGACCAACACCAGGAATGAAATGACATTTGTGATAAAGATCGGTACTTGCTGGAAACGCCTCTCTTCTTTCATTGACTAAAATCAATCTTTTACGAAGGATAATCAGTCTGCTTATATACACAATAGATGGAAGGCTTGCATCACGGACAAGGCAGTTCATAGTTGCAGTCTGAGCATGAGGAGTTAAAGGTCATTGAATACCAAATTGTGAAATACACGGAGACAGGGTTCTGAATATGTGCTCATGAAAGTTATGTAATCATTATTCATTAATGCACAAGCAGTGAACTCGATGATACACAGGTGGCAGTATTCTTTAAAAAGGGGAAACAAAGGCTATTTCAAAATATACAAAGTGGGACCTCTTCATGTTTTGAAGATCTGTGGATATTGGGGTCATTTGGGACATGTGCTAACCGTGAACTGGTTTATAGGACCAGACTCTCACTTATCCCATCAGACAGTCAAAAAGTGTACCGTGTCCGTGACGCAAGGATGGTTCGCACCAACTCTGGCCAATCCTTAGTACCCGTTTCAAACGAGGCTTCAATTCAGTTGCGTTATTACTTACGCTAAACAAGCGCTTGAAGGCCTTTGGCGCATGTGCCATTACTTCAACAATGTCTACACTTTTAATTGTGATTTCACTCTTTTTACAATAACACTTTCAAATAGTGCGCCAAAGACTGCGCCAATGGTTGACGCAGCCCTACGTCAGCAAGTGACGCAGTGTGTGCGACGGGCATTAGGCCACCTTCTCAAAGGGAGACATACTTACGTAGTACTCATAGGATATGACGGCATAACCTGACACGGATGCAGTTCCCGCTACGCCGATAAAGGTCGAACTTCCGATGTTGGTGACGTAAAGTGAAAGTCCCACCTATATTAGAATCATAAATTCATTTTTTTTCTAAACAAAAGATGGTAACGTCACCTTATATACAAAATGTTCTCAAGCACACCCAATAGCAACATTACTTATAATCCGAATTAACCCAAGTGTACTTGTCTTTTAAAGGGATCCGAAAGACAAGAAAATTACAGTATATAGGCCTAATCGTAATAATGAGATTCCAGAGTTGTGAAATTACAACCAAAAAAATGTGTGAAATGAAAAGAAAAAAAAAGTAAAATATAAAAGGGGACTTGCTCAAATCAGCTGGAGCCTTTTTTCACTCATTGTAAAATATATATGAAACTTTGTTATTATGTTTTCAGAAAGTTAAACATGCCAACTATTTTTCTACAAAACTTTAAAAAGTTGCTATGCCAATTCTTATAAATATGAAATAGATTTTGACGAAATCAATCTAAAACGACCATAAATTTTATTTTTTACTTACAAGCCACCATGACATCTCTCTACCAGCAAGAAAGTACCCAGTCGTTGAATCTTTGCCGCCACCCCATGCCGCCTGAAAAGGGATTTAAATCAAAAACTGAAAGTTGAGTAAAAAGCAATCAAAGAAGGGAACCTGATGGAATACCTCATTTCATTACAATACTGTTGAGTAATGACAAATTGACAATAATAATAATGGGACAAAAAAGAAATCATATCCTTTAGTAAAATTGATGTTTCGAGACCGAAACCCGAAAGGCCTTAAGGCCTCCGAGACAGAAGGTACGCTAGACCTTGAATTTAAATCTCCTTAACTTTCAGTCTAGTCCATGGAATTCAGGTAGGTGTCAGAGACAGCGCGAGACCGAGAGCCTTTAGTACTGTGAACCTCGAGACCGAAATTGCGGTCTTGTGGACATTTGTTCTTTGAAAAAAGGTTTGAAAAAGGGAACCGTATTAAATAATCACCTTAAAGGTAAAGACCAGTATTGGAAACGCCCCAATTTCAAAAAATGAAATGGAAGCTCTTATTACCAATCATGTGAAAGAGTATGTTTTGACTAATACATGATGATAACAATTTTGCCGGGAAACCGCCTACTAATTGATATATTTGGTAAATTAGTTTATCTATTGGTGTGTAAGAGATAAACGCACGTGTCGCGCACGTATATCTTTCTATGTGCAGCGCTTGTAACTTTACGAAGACTGGGCCAAATTTCTTATCATTTTGATGATTCCAGAACCTTGCAGTACACACCAATACTTATATGCTAGATGATCAACCTTTTCTGATCGATTCCACAACGTTTCTTTCACAATGCAATCGCATGATCATAAACTGATATTCATCTTTAAAATAACTTAAGTTTCTATGAAGCGTTGGTGGTATAGCGGTTAGCATAGTTGCCTTCCAAGCAATTGACCCGGGTTCGACTCCCGGCCAACGCAACGTTTTTTTTTTTTTGAGGAGGCGCGATAGCTCAGTCAGTAGAGCAGTGGTCTCGTAATCCGGCGACCCGGGTTCGAAACAAAGGCGATGTGCCAGTGCCCTTTGGTAAGGCATTAATCCTCATTACCAGGTCCCTCAGTGAGGACATAAAGCCGTCAGCCTTTGATCTTCAATGTTCTTGTGAAACTTCGGTCTTCTGAACTTTCGGTCAAAATAATGAGAGACATCTAAAAATTATATTGTCATAATGTGGGCCACTATCAGATACCAGTATGTGTACACTCGGGTTTATCAAGATCTTGAAATGTGTAACTCTGTTACTGTTAGAAATTGGGTGTTATGTGATATTATGTTCAAAGTACGTAGCCTATTATGAGAGGTTATTTTTGTCTTTGTAACTTTTGTAGAATTATTACTTGTTTCAGAACAACAGTCCTAATAGTTTTGACTTTGGCTTATATTGTAGGAAGTGCCCCCTTAATGATATGGGAGGATAAATGTCATTCATAGTGTCAATATTCTTATCTTGAAAGGGGAAAAGGAGTTAGCAAACAATATCGGAATAATTCTAGAGCAGCGGAGCAAAGGTGTACACGTACACGATGCGATAACCACGAGTTCAGTTCGTGAAAAAGGTCGTGAATCAATTTTAACATGAGTATGCAATATTTGTATCTGATGGTATAACGACAAAATTAGTAGTAATGTGAGCGAATATCACTAGTTGTAATAACTGATTATCAATATCAGAGTCTGTAAACTGGGCATTTTGTTAACCCTTTACCTAGTAGCAGAGAGATAGCTAGAGAGAGGGGAGAGGGGAGAGAGAGAGAGAGAGAGGGGGATAGAAAGGGTGAAGGGAGAGCTAGGAGGGGTTCAGTTCAATATTAATGATGAATTATTTTATAGAAGAACCCACTATAATTATCCACAAATGTTATATTGATCCCAGTGCCATTGATAGCTCTGATCGATCCATGATTCTTCTGCCCTCACCGACCTGTCAAAAGAGCATAATTTTGACTTAATTCAATTCTAATTTTTATGTATCTATCTTATCTTAAATACCCAATATGAGCACTGGCGCAATTCAACTCCAATACTGACATGGAATGCAATTACAGGTCCTTGATATCCTGTTTTAAAAAAATTAAAAAAAAAAAAAAAATTAAAAATCGCTATTTAAATCAAAAAATGATTGTTGGTCCGGAAAACTCCACGTTCTTGTCACAGTGTGAGTGGTCATGTTTGTCTGATGTCAAATACTTTCATAATTAATCAAGCCAGGAATCCCATTATGGCCACGTAAACACACATCTTAGACCTCTCATTCATTTACTTTATAATGTGGATTAACGATTCACTTATTGAATGTTATAAATTGTGAGTATGGCATAGTTAAGTTGCTAAAGAAGAGAATAGCACCCTCATGTTAACATTGCACAGATAAACATTAATTTATCGTTAACCATTTAACAAATAAATTTAGATTATGAGGCTAGTGTTTATATTGAATACAAACGGAAGCTTAGTCATGTAAACATTCGTAAAGAAATTGTAATACTCAGTAATCAAATCGAAAAATAGATTATAATATAATTTCCCAGACCCGTGTGTTTTTATCATGGCGTAGAGGGTTAAATAGCAACAACAACAAAAGCTATATCATGTAAACATTACAAACAGTACATTATAAACTTTGATTTTCAGTAATTAATTTGGAAAATACATTTGGATTACCATGACGGTGTGGATTAGGGAGTGGTTAGTTTAAGCGATTACCCCTTTTTGTAAACGTGAAAATGTTATGACTACCGGTAACCAAAGATACAATGGATAGTTCATTATCTCATGGGTGAAGTGGACCATTGGGTGGATTGTTTGTAGACGCCATTGATTAGGGGCGTGGCTAGACAGGGGTAAAGGTCGGGTGTGACACACCCCAAGTTAAAATGTATACAACAATTTCAAAATTTTGCTGACAAAGTAAAAATGTTGACGACCTCTTTTCTTTAATTTTTGTTGACGCTGCTGTCGGTGCTGCTCCCCCTCTCTCTCTCTCTCTCTCTCTCTCTCTCTCTCTCTCTTTTACCAACTTCACGACCTTCCCCGGCCCCCGTCGCATAAATATCGTCTCCATATTAACCTGTCGTTATGAATGCGTGATGTTGGGAATCTATACATAGAAACGTCAATGTGTTTTTGATATGTCCTTCTTTTTTATGTCTCTATCTTAAGGTTTTTTTTTGTCAACTCTCTCTCTCTCTCTCTATCGTTAATCAACAAGTCATTGTGGACTTTATGCTTCTTTCTGACGTCATATAGGCTACTTCAGCAAAGTCTTGTAATTAGTTGCAATTTTGTCTTTAATTTCACTAAAGTAGGTTTAAAGCGAACTACTTTCGATGCTATAACAACCGAATAATGTTGTCGTGGGTAATGCGCTTCTGGTACATAGTTGTCTTTCAATATTAATATTGGCTCGGTCTTCGAATGCAAAATCAATATTTACTACTTAAACATTTTTCAAGTTCAAGTTTCAAGTTTATTTGTTTCATATTTCACAAAAAAAGAATTCACATAATTGACAAGATTAGAACATAATATGAAATACTCTAATAGTGTCACATTATATAACCAATTCTTTGAAAAGACGTTGAAATTAATTGTATTGAATAGTAGGTTATACAGGATGAAATGTGAGGAACCTATTGAAAAGCTCAGCTTGTAGATTATAGGTTCCCATAAATAAAACTAACTTTTGTTGTTGTTTTGTTATGAAATGAAAAGAAATGTACAGATAGGAAGAAAATCATGTTGCACTATTCTGTTGCGAGAAAGATGAAGGGAATAGGAAAACAACTTTGGATAAGTAGTTCAGAATAGATCGATAGATAGTTGCACGAATAAATAGATATAAGTATATTTGATTTGGTTTGAATATATTCATTTCCCTTCCGATATATCCATGTAAATGATACACGTTGATTCAATAATGCACACTGAACAATGCCAGTAAATTCGCATGTGAGGCAAAAATAGATAAGGAATCACTTTTGAACTAAATTTGTACTTTAGAATGATTGAAATTAGTACACCATGAATACAAAAACTGAAGATATATTTTCTTTACCGATTTCGTAAATGTATTCCGTTCCAAAACATTTCATTAACCAATGTAGAATGCAAACTACATGAACAAACTATAGGGAAAAGACATCTAATGCAAGTTATTGAAGTTGTATGTTAAAGTCAAAGTTTTTTGGGCTTCCAATGTTCCTAAGCAGTAAGCACCACAACAGTTCTAGTGTTGTTATTACAAATATTTTTTTAAAGCTCTTTCCAACTTTGCTAGGTGGATACTATTACATAAATGAATGAATAGATACATATACAAATGGATAACAACAAAATAAAAGAATAAAAATTGACCAGACTAAACATATTTTCCTCTGCAGTACATAATATAGAAATAATCAAGACTAAATTAAATTGAATATTTGGCAACTTCACTCCAAATATATTTAACAAATCACCTTAATGTAAATTTTTATAAGTTATTTTATATAACTATGATAAAGCAAAAACTTTTACTTTCGAACGACTCTGTCATGTATATGTATATGCAAGTTAACACGCCTAACAAAATTAAGAGTAATTTTTGGAAAATGACACTGCACTCGTACATGATGTTTACATATAACAATGTTCAAGTTGTTCGTGCCCGCGCAATAATTTTGTGATTACAAAATGGCGAATCCGACATGGAATGTTTGCCATCATCTTGATACCTTCACAGATCAAATAAAGAACATAGCATGTTTCTATTATGTCTGATGTTCCTTGCCTTCCGCATGATTTAATCAAAACTTTATGTAGGCTAAATTGTTAGATTTTCGAAAAATATGAAGAATAAATTATGTTGTCAAAATTAATATGCGGTTAATAATCTTGAAAACGTCAACGGACCACTGAAAAGACTGACTTCCCTTCGTACTTTCTCGTCCAAACTTTCTCACTCTTTCTATTTTTCTTGTGCGCCTCGGAATAGCATTGTCTAGATAGACGGCGCTATACAAATGCCTATTATTATTATTATTATTACTTGTATTTTTATTGGATATCTTTTGATTGTTAAGGAATTTTTCGAAGAATAATGATTTAAATCAAAGTGTTAAAGATTCTCTTCATGTTTGGGTTTAGTCCGTGGTATAAACTTTTTGACGAAAGCTCAAACAAAATGTATACAAAATATGATGTCCGTGAAATAGCATTATTTCTAGATTCAGGATTTGCGTGAGAGTTTCTTTTTAATGAGAGCTCGCTATTAGTAGTATAGTAAGTAAGTGTAGTAGTAGTAAGTAATAAAGTAGTATGCAGTACGTTTGCCATTAGACTCTCTTTACTACACTATATCAATTAACCTTTAACTAAATGTGTACCTTGAACTAAACCATTCTTTATCGTCCCAATAATGAATAGTATCTGTCAATTATCTCGAGTTAATGGTTTTCGTATCATTTAGACTGAATATTTTGTCATATTTCTTCTCCTTGTTCTCCACTGTTTACATATACGAGACTTTCATAATTCAGTAATTGTCTGCGTATATTTGGTGTAACAGACTATAATGGGACTAATTAAGGACGTGCTGGAGTAGTTAGATATCGCACGCGTTAATGTCACGTTGAAAACGTGACACTACCAAAAAGTTCTGTGATTCGAGCAAGATTTGCATATTTTAATCATTAGTTCTTTGATAACTAAAAAACTGAACATGTTTATCTAAGGGATGAAATGAATAGTTTCCACAGAGACCGGAGGGACATACCAAGGTTGAAGTGTGGGTCAGTGTGAACTTTGTGTGTGTTTTTCTTTATTCTTTGCAGAAGGATGGGTGGTGTGGAGGTGTGTCTTGGTAGGATGTTGGGTTCTTAGTAGGTTCATGGTATGAGGGCTCGAGTGTGAGGGCGTATGCATAGAACGTGGAGTGTGTTATACTCTTCTCATATTTTTGATTCGGAAATTATCGGTTGATTTTCACATCAATAGAAAATTGTTTTGGGACAAATATTATTGTCTCTGCTTTCTCTATGAAGAGAGCAATATAGGAACAGGAAAACAAACATCTATCAAAAAGGAATATGGAATTATTTTGATTTTGATTTTGTAACAACTCCTCCTCATCATCCTTGTTATCAGTGTTATTTCATCGTTCTAGGTTTCGTTGTCTGCATTTTTTTATTTTCTTTTTTTAATATCCGTTTATCTTGTGCATTTTCTGCTTTTCCTTTTCGTTTATCGGTCTCTTTTCTCCTGATCAATTTTATTTTACTACATTTACCGCAAACTAATTTACAAAAATTGATTTACGTAGTACCACTTAAGTATGGTGTTCATTTCATATATATATATATATATATATATATATATATATATATATATATATATATATTTATGTATGTATGTAATTGCATATGACTATATATATATATGATGTATAATAAAAACAATCCCAATGTTAATCATCCCAATGCAAATAATGAATTGTATCAATGATTAAATGTGAATAGGATGTGAAAACGTAGAATGTGATTACAGGCGAATGATATAGATTCTTTGAAAATATATATTTATATATCTAAGTATTTATACATTTATTTATACATTTATTTATACATTTATCAATTTATCTACCACTCTGTTTAGAAAATTACTTTGTGCCTGGCTTGCAGCCTAAACCTGTCAACAAAGTGGAGCGTGTGATGCATACTCTTTAAATATTTTGAAATTAGACAAATGTGCGTTTTCCTCAAACTTTATCATCAACAACAAATATTCAGGAGCTTATGTATGGCATTAAACGTTAACCCCCCCCCCCCCCCACTAAATGACTGAACCAATGAACAAATACTGAGACAAGATACGACGGAATATAATGATAGAAAATCGAGTATTTGCGAGAGTTTGAAGGACAGGATGTCCATAATGACAACAATAAATTTACTTCAAATCGAATTCTTCTCGAAAATCAAAAGGAAAGTATCAAAGGGGTTGAAGGCAAATACCAAAATTTGAAATAACATTTCACATTTTAATATATTTTCCCACTTGATAAGTATAGAAAAATCAGCTGGAAATTGTACCTGTTTTTCTATTTATCAAACGAATTTCCAAAATAGAAATAATCAGATTTTAGTACAGCTAGAGCTAACATCAGTTATGCAAGGGAATTAGGAATAAAATCAATAGTTATTTTTCAGAGTTAGGATTAATTCGTTTGAGCTTACCCATATTCCTAAAGAGAAGACGAGGACGAAATGGATGACGATGACGACGATATCCCATGCTTCCAGATTACCGTTCGACGTCGAGTTACCCATTCTTCGTACCCGATCACGAATTCGTACAAAAACAAACAAAAGAGCGTTAATTGTTTGCAAGAAAGTTGATAAAAAGATCCTTTTTTGAAATATTTTAGTTGCTTTAGAAGATGATAAAGAGATGAAATTTAAGTCAAATTTTACGCAGAATTGTAGTTCCAAGCTTATGACGAGAGAACGCGGTATGTCTCGCCCATGTTCGTGATGTTATGATGATTGATCATAACTGTGTCGCGGTATGGGTAAGATTTGGGTATGTTAGATTAGCGTATGCTCTGGGTGTGTTGCGCGTAGCCTCTTCAAGTTCCAATTCAAGCAATCAAAGATAATTGTAATAAAGATAAACGAAATGGTAATTATCAATTGTCAACAAACTGCATTGTCTCACCGGGTCGTAAAAAGGAGACGATGTTCAAAATCCAAAGGTTTTGTTTAAAGACCACAAGGACGTCGACTTATCATCTTACCTCATTCGCTTTGGAAATTATTTGTTGCTGATGAGTCTTGATATTGTCGGGATGTGAAGATGCCCCACCCCCTCGTCATGCTTGTTCGTCCTCGAAGGAAACGCGCCTTTTCCATGATTACCATGGTAACGTGTGCATTTGTCACTTTTAGTGGAATTGTATTGACTAATGGCGCTCTATTTCTGCATCTTGGTTGGTGGGAGATAGAAGCATGTGCCTTGGTTAATCAGTTGTTTGAAAAAGTTTGATGGTGTTTATTATTCTATAGTACAAAGAGGGAGAGAGGGAGAGGGGAATTTTGTTTTCCTTCCTTCCCTTTCCTTCCACTGTTGCTCTATGTATCTTCGTCTCTTTCTTTGTCCTTTTTTTTCTTTCACCCTCTGTCTCTCTTTGTCTCTCTCTCTCTCTCTCTCTGTCTCTCTCCGTCTTTCTCTCTCTCTCTCTCTCTCCCTTTCTCCCTCCCACCCTTCATCCATCCTCCCCACCCGTCCACTATCTTTCTCTCTCCACCTAGCGTCTCTCGATCTGCCTGCATGAGCTCTCATCCCCTAATCTGCTCCGGTTCATCAGGGGTTTGAAAAAGTTTGTGTTTATTATTCTATAGTACAAAGAGGGAGAGAGGGAGAGGGGAATTTTGTTTTCCTTCCTTCCCTTTCCTTCCACTTTTGCTCTATGTATCTTCGTCTCTTTCTTTGTCCTTTTTTTCTTTCACCCTCTGTCTCTCTTTGTCTCTCTCTCTCTCTCTCTCTCTGTCTCTCTCCGTATTTCTCTCTCTCTCTCTCTCTCTCCCTTTCTCCCTCCCACCCTTCATCCATCCTCCCCACCCGTCCACTATCTTTCTCTCTCCACCTAGCGTCTCTCGATCTGCCTGCATGAGCTCTCATTCCCTAACCTGCTCCGGTTCATCAGGGGTTCACCCTTCTCTCTCACACTCACTAGACATTAAATATCGGCTCCACTATTTTTATTTTGCTCTTTAATTCAATTTCCTTAATTTCTCTTTTGTGTAGATAAGAAATATATCTAATATCTGCCTTTATATTCAGCCTTACATTAATGTTGTGTATGCCTCCGCCCACCAAAAGCGGTGCGGGAGGCAAAGTGTGTTCGGGTTGTCCGTCTGTCCGTCCCGCTTTCTCGTTATCGTGGTACCTCAAAAACCATGCACTTGAGATATGAACTTCAAACTTGAGGATAGTATGTAGCACCATAGAAAGACGATCTCATTAGATTTGGCTTATTCAAAGGTCACAGAGGTCATTAAAGGTTTTAGCTTTCTATTGTGATATCTCAACAACTACAGGGGGTACTAGAGATAGGCTTTTTGTTTTTATCTTGATATGTCACAAATAATTCCAATTTTCCATTTCGTATACAGAATTTTGGGCGGAGGCATATAAGAGCATATATTTTTGATAGTTGAATATTAAGAAACTTACAATTTTCTTAGGAATCTGCTGTTTTATTCAGTCTTCGTGAGGTATGATCACATTGATTGACAATCGTTGTGCACGTTACATTGTAGTAGATGATACCAAGTTAATTTCATATAATATTTTAGTATAACAATTTTGTTCTACTATGCCTATATACAAAATCAGTACAAATTTCCGTCTTCACAATTCTTCCCCTTTAGTACAGGGCTATTTGAGCAATCACTGCCGGATTAGTATTCAGATACTATCTACATGGAAAAAAGGAACATAATAATTGTACATGATTACTGCTATAACAAGTGTTATAATTAATTTTAAAGTTTATGATGCAAAGTTATTCCGCAAAGCAATTCGCAGAAAACTGATACGAAAACAAACACAAAGCGCCCATGTAAATTATCAAAAAAGGAACATATTAAAGTATGCCTACGGAAGTTTTACTCTACGTTTTCTACGCCAGTCACATCCTGGAAAACGAACGTTAAATTAACAACGTCAGGTGAAGAAAAACAAATAAGGACTGGTACTATAGATTTAAAGAATGGCACTGCAGAGAGAAAAAGTGAAGCTTATTGTCCTGCACTCATCAGACTCTGAGTAAACCGCTAGAATGAACAGAAAACTAATATAGTTTACTCTGATCAGTACTAAGCGAATGTCTTCACTACGTCCCTTTTCAGTTCAATTCTTTGAAGAAAAAATATATACAAAGCAACTATTCATAGGCGTATGATGCTTGTAGCTTATATGCAACACACCGCAAAAACACAACAAATGCGCGAATTCAATTTACAGAGTGCAAAGTCAAACAACTAACAACATCTTGTTGTTTAACTAATACACACAAAGGAGAAAAGAAACGTGAATACTCAAACATATTGACAAATAAAGTGCAAATCATAGTTCTGATAATTTCCATATTACACTGAGTAATGTAGTCTCGAATAATGGTTTTAGATCAAGATCCATTGTTTGATACAATAAAAATTAAGTTCAGGTAAGGTGATTGAGCAAGAAACCGTCCATGAAAGGTTATCTTTGTATAGGACATGAATAGGAAAGGAATACCGCACTTACAAAAACGAGACCGATAAAAGACCGAACAAAATATTACCTTGCCTACAATGACTAAAAATCAGTCGGTCTGGAGTCGGTCTGACGGTACGACTGAGGCACGAGGACCTTTTTAGAATCCTTTATATTTGATTTGTTACATTATTATCCAAAGTAGGCCAGAATGAAAACACAAACTGTCCCCAGAATTCCCCCGTTCACTAGGGCTATACGAGCCCATTTCGGATTCTCTAATGCAGTAGCCTTCCTCTCTTGCTCGGGCGCTTCTTCCTCGACATCGTCGGCCTCCTCGTCCGTGGGCGCTCCGCTGATCCCGCAGAGGATGTTCCACGCCTTCCACTTCAGGCCCGTTCTCTCCTGAGCTCCTATTATAGAAGAAAGAGTAGTCATAATAATGTTGTCTAGCAATACATTAACATCAATAGGTAGTACAGTATAGTATTGTCCCTAGCAAAACAGGTATCAGCTAGACAATCTTTAATCGTGAGTTGTTGTCGAAATTTCATAAAGATTTTTTTACCACCACCGGCAAGACTGATATTTGATTTGCTACTATCACACCTTTATGTTATTTAATTTGATTTTGCCCTACCCTTCCGACTTGAATTTTTAATGGATTTGCTAACGGTGTTTGCTACTTTGTAGACATAAATGTTGAGTTTTTATTTTGTTCTTCTTCAAATAATACTTCTATATCGACGCCCCGGAGAGATACATTGTGAGCCCTGTAGTTATGGCTGCTGTGGTGCCGAGGATCGTATGGGTATGGCGTACGGGCACATTTTCGCCAGAAATATTAATTTTGCAAGCGATCGAAGAATAATAGTGATATTGTAAAACAGTCTTCAAAATATTAAGATAGAGCACTTAAACAGTAACACTTCGGTGCATGATTATGAGGTGACGGTTACCCGTATATTGGTATAGTTTCAAAGCTATCGCGGTGCAGCTTCCTAAGCCCACTCCTACGTCACTCACACGTATATTGTAAGTTGATTGTTTGATGAATTTGTAAATTATTTGTTTGCTTGATTGCTTTATTGGTTGGTTGATTGGTAAAAATTAATAGAATAATCGTTTTATTAATCGAATGTTTGATTGATTAATCGACTAGTTGATTAGTTGGAATCTTGGTTTATTGCCTTTTTGATAATTTAGCTACGCTTGAAGGACATTAGAGTGTTTTACTATGTTTAATCACGAGGATAAGTCATCGACAGCAAAAGGGGGAAGAGAAAGAGGGGAGAACAAGAAGTGCAAGAATAAAGTTTATAGTTATAAGTAATAGGCGGAAACTTACTGATCGCTGCTTGCTTCTTTTTCTCTGCCCGAATCACATCGTTCTTCCTCTCATCTTCTGCTTTCTCCTCGGACATCGGCAGTCTTGGCAGATTTGAGAATCGCGTCCAGAATGTGAGCCGTACCAACTAATAGGCAGAGATATCATACAAAGTGATGAATTACAAATAATAATACATATACATTTAAAAGGAAGATTAATCAATAGATCATTTGGTCTTCGGAGAGGGCACAACAAACACATCAGAAATTCAAGCAATCAATTAAACAATCAATAAATAAATCGATTGAATTTACATCGATGTTGTTGTTGTTGATCATTTTATTTAGACAAGGTAAAAACACACTTTCAGCCCAAAATGCTGTTTTTCAGTATGTCCGTATGTATACCTTCAATATACCTTCAGAGGAAGAATACAAGTCAGAGCCAATGTAACAATTAATTAGTCAATCTACCCATCTGACCTCCAAAGCAATGAAGGAACTAACATTACACCCAACCAGTCAATAAAACAAACATTCAATCCATCAAACAGTAACAAATCGATCAAACAAAATCAATATCCAAATGAATCACCCAGTCAGTTAGCCGGTCAATCAACCCGTTAACCAATCGGTTATCAATCAATCAATAAATTCGCAAATCAGTCAACCAATCATTTAATTTACAAATTGAGTAACGAGCCAATCAGCAAAAAGAAACAATATATAAACCAACCAATCAATAAATCAACCGACCAACAAATCAGTCAATCAATAAGGAAGAATATCATCAATCAAAGAACAAACATTAAATCCGTCTTGTACCTTTTGTTGAGGTATGGGCTCGGTGAGTAAGCTGAATATGACTATGAGAATGATAGTGAACCCGTAGAGGAAGGCGGCAAAGTGTAGGAAGTGGAAGTCCCGCACGATGTCGGGTCTACTATCTTCTTGTCCGCATGACGGAACACCGTAGACGAAATCGAGGATGAACCGGGTAAAACCCACGATGAAACCGCAAACGAGTCCCCAGAAAGCGCCCTGATAAAAGATAAAAGTTCAACATTCAAATCGTCTGCACGGATTGACTGACCACTCTTTTTATTAGTATAGGACACAAGCTTAATTACAGGAGTCAAAATTGCTGATGATGCTTTTAAGAGAGGGGGCTCTCAAATAGGGCAATGGCGCACAGGGGTGTATTTTCGGCAATTTTTTACGTTTCCGAATATTTAGTCGGGGAAGACACATGCCCGTGTGTCCCCCTTTAATAATAATGATGATAATAATGTGTCTTGTTAACCCAGGATAGCCTCATCAGTATTAATATTGTTCTCTCTTAGGGCCTTGCAGTCCTATTCTAACCCCGGCTTTAGCCGAGCTGCCATGAAAGGCGCTTTTCCTACCGGGTATCCAGCCCTTCCGCGGTTGTTAACAATTGTTTTCTAGTATTTAAAGTATATTTTAATCATAATTAATTGGGTTTTTATTGTGCAGCTAAAATGCCTTGTATAGGTATAAATAATGCTTGTTATTCTTTGCCGAAATGTAATTTTATTCATTTATCTAACGTTGAATGCATCAAAGAAAAGCAATCTCATTAAAAACACCTCAAATTCCAATATCCCCAATTTCATAGGTAAAAGATAAATATCCCCATTTGGCACGTTTTACCTGTATGTGCGTATGTGTGGGTATATGTGAGTATATATATATATATATATATATCATGTAATAAGAGTACTAACCGTTTCGTTGATTCTCGTCCAAGCGATAGCCGCCGTGAATACAGAGAACACAGCGGGTGTCAGGTATGAAAGGATAGCTTGCATGTAGACAAAGAGTTCACCAGAGCCATACGCTTGGATAACAGGAATCCATAGCACCCCAACGGCGACAAGAACAAGCGTCGCCAATCTGAATGGTTGAGGAAAAATATGATATATAGAAAGTAGATCATGCCAATGAAGGGCAACTTTTTTTTTTGCGTAAGAAACTTATTTATTTACCAACCACCTTGCCGAAAGTTGGTTACTTAATGACTGAAACGTTGTTTTTGTCCTCTCCTCAAAGGCGTTGCAAGAGGGGAGATGTCACCCTCACCATGTCAATTTTAATTCTAGTTGGTCAACTCGTATTGCTTTTTTTGTTGTTTAGTTTTCGATCTTGACATCAAATTAGACATATGAAGGCTTTTCCACTTGTTAAGAAATTGTGTAAGGTGAAGACATCTTTCTCCTCCTTTTTCTTCCCTCATATTTCTTGCTTGTTTGTAATTTTCCGCCATTCAATTTTTTTTTTGGACAATTTAGTGAGACTTTCCTCCATTTAAATCTTTTACCTTTACCCCCCCCCCCCCCGGCGTCAGTTAAATTTTAATGAGTATAATTATGCACTGAACAAGTCACTATCATAGGTGTAACATAGAGTATTCGTAAGACATGGAATATAGGATGATGTACTTAAATGTTATAGAAATTATACCTAATCCTAGAAATCTATATTCAGTCCAAATAATATTACTATTTCTAACGCAGATAGTCCTAACCACTGTACTCATGGTACTAGAAAATTTAGATATTGCGCAAAATTTAATTGTGTACGAAATAAATAGTGCAAAACTGAAGGTAATTTTTGTTGACAGTGTCAGTTATGAAACTTAAATTATTACAATACATGTAGAGCATTTATTAAGTGAGACATACTTTCCTACGATGACGAGTTCGAGCTCAGTCGACCTCGGCCTGATCTTGTACCAGATGTCGATGACGAACATCGAACTGGACGCATTGAAGATGGAGGTCAACGAACTTATCATGGCTGCCAGCATCGTGGCCAGCATCAACCCCCGAAGACCTGCAACGATGAAGGAGATATTGAGAGCAAAGTTGAGATAGATAGATAGATAGAAGAATTGTATTTTATCGCAGCTTTCACGAATGGCAGTTTAATAACTGATTTTCGCATGAATTACACCGTATCAGGATAAATATAGACAAAACATCGAAAGATGGGCGAATCATCCGTTGTTAAAAAACATTAAACCATGTTGGCATTTTGAATACTTGAAGGGAAAAAACGTAAACAAACCTTTTGGATATAGAATACAAAGCAAGCTGGGAAAACGTATAGAAACGATAACCTACTCCCCATTTCCACCATGGTTATTCTACCCTCCGGCAGTGTCAACGGAATTAAGTACTCGAATAAAGAAAACAGATCATCCTACACAACAAAAACAAAGCAGCCTGGAAATCATACATACTAAATGGGCGACTCAATTACATATATACACCGATGGATCAAAAGTACCTGAAAGAGGGACCTCTGCAGCTGCTTTTTACGTCCCTTACTATTCTGTACATCGGAGCAAAAGGTTAGCAAATTTCACCTCTTCGTACAGGGCTGAATTGGCTGCCATCATTCTTGCTCTCAGATGGGTAGATGAATTAGACATTTATGTGGGGGTTGTTATTTTTAGTGATTCACTGAGTGCACTTATTGCATTACAACAACAGAAGGACGAATCTTTTATTCTGGAAATTCTCACCATGACTACTCACTTAAAGAATAAAGGAGTTGATATATATGTAGAGTGGATACCTGGACATTGTGGAATAAAAGGGAACGAGATGGCGGATTTCCACGCAAAGGCCGCATTAGTAAAGAAAATAGAAGTCAATAATAACCTAAATATGTCAGAAATGAAAAGCTTAATTACTACAAGTTCCAAACTCCTTTGGCAAGAAAGGTGGAACAAAACCAACTCGTATTTGAAAACATATCAAAAAGATGTTAATAAACCATATATATGCTCATTTAATAGAGAGACATCATTCAACAATAATACATCGACTCCGCTTTGGAGTCCTTGGACTTAACCAGGATCTCCTCAGATTGGGAATTCATGCTACTGGTTTCTGTAATAGATGCCCCAGTGAAATAGAGACTGTAAAACATTTTTTAGTACATTGCCCTAACTATATTATAGAAAGGGCTATGTTTCTAACCGAAATTAACGAATCCCAACCTGAAAAAATTATGGAATACTTAAAAAAGAGTGAGTCCAGTATACAAAAAGCTATTGTACGGTTTTTTCTCAGAACGAAACGGTTCCCTATCAGGAAGTAATAGTAAAATATAATACAATATTATAAATATGCTAAATTACACTCAGTACATTAAAAATATAATAACATAATGTAATAAGAAAATAAAATAAGAACAGTAAAACATAATACAATATCATAAATATGTTAAATTACACTCAGTACATTAAAAATATAATAACATAATGTAATAAGAAAATAAAATAAGAATAGTAAAACATTATACAATATTATAATATGCTAAATTACACTCAGTACATTAAAAATATAATAACAATCATAATGTAATAAGAAAATAAAATAAGAACAGTAAAACATAATACGATATTATAAATATGTTAAATTACACTCAGTACATTAAAAATATAATAACATAATGTATTAAGAAAATAAAATAAGAAAAAGTAACAACAATGATAAAAGGTATGATAAGATCACTGAATATAGAAGCTTGTGTAGGTGCTATCTTATATACATATTTATGTATGGTGTGTATGTGATATAACAAATAATCTGCACGTACTGTTAAGAAACACTAACAAAGCCCATGAATGTTTTGCTTACGATATTATTTTACGATACTATCTTAAAAGATAGATAAATATAAAACGAAATAAATGTATTTTTAAAAAAATCCAAAATTGAGAGATATAACACGTGCCGTAAAGTAATTTGGCGACAATAGTCAAATCACTGACTAATCGCCAATAACTCAAAACACAACAACAACATTTACCCCTGGAAAATCACCCCCGGAAAATTACCCCCTGGATAACTACCCCCAGAGTACCATTTCCCCTCGAAAAATTACCCCCGGAGAATTATCCACCGAGGACAATTACCCCCCGGAAAATTACCCCCCCCCCCCGGAGTATTGCCACCAGAGGACAACTACCCCCGAGGACAATTACCCGAGAATGTCTAGCGAGCACTGGTGGGAATGACAACGAATCATGCTGGGAAATGTTTTCAATAGGTCCGTTGAATCCAATAAAATTTCATAAAAACACATGAACTAAAATCATCGAATTTAAATTATTTCATCCAAATCCAAACCGACTATAATGATACATCGTATCATACCTGTAGGCATAAGTTCAACGACAAGTCTTGGGTAAGCGATGTTAGAGCATCCCGCTGGATTACCACAAGCCGCCTCACATACTTCCGGGTCTACGCAAGCTATCTCATCTGTCATCAAGAAATATAAAGTGAGAAATTCATAAGTTTGGTAACGTTTCTTTCTTTAAAATATACGAATATATACTGATTTTTTGTAAACATATTTCCATAACCATTTTACTACATGGAATCTCTCGTCTATAGAGAAATGTGTTATTGCTAATGAATGTGCGGAAGACCCGCCGGGAAACATAATTTTGTTCTACACTGTAGCTTGTAGTCAACAGTTTTTTTTTAAATCACAATTTTTTACGTCTTGACATTCATACGTTCGGAAAGCAATATCAAAGGTGCTTAGCCGCTAACATTATCAGTGATGTAGCGAGACCAGTCTCTGTCTTGGGGTTTTGATGTTTTGGTCTTGGTCTACACCCGAGTCCTAATGTAAAATTAAAGTCATCAACGTTTCCTCCTGGTCTTGCCCCCCCCCCCCACCACCACAACCTAATGTCTACAAGCTCCAGTCTCTAACATTCTATATGTATGATTACTATCTGTATTAATTATTCGGCGTCATAGGAAGCGGATATAATCACTAAAACGCCGGAAATTTGTATAGTCCGTGCTTCAACCATCGGGTCTCTTCTTCCGATGTATGATGTGCAGGTGTATACATCGGGGGGGGGGGGGGGGGGGGGGGGTTGCTCTTTACTTTTAACAAGGGAGCAGCATGTTCTTAACGTACACATAGGGGGCCAATCCCCTACGCACACGGATCCTCTGCAATGGTCTGTCCAGAAGACAGAACATAAATGAATTCATTGTATCATCTATGTTCTTTAAGGGTTGCTACTCACCTGGCCACAGGGTTCGGCTGATCATACCAGGGATGACCATTAGGAACATGGGAAGGATCTTGAAGTACCCGGTCATGATACAGGCAGCCTTGCTGTGAGTCACGTTCCTTGCAGCAAGGGTACGCTGAACAATCACCTGGAAGGGTCAAGGACAAAGGTGGATATTTAGTACATCTATCAGCTGGTTCGTACACCAGAGGCTACAACTTACGACAAAGACGGCAGGGTCACAAAACGGAACATTGAAGATGCATGGTAAAAGCTATCCAGATTTGAACAACCAAAGGCAGCATAAAAGACTTTGCACTAGCCTGGATTGTGCACGAGATGCACAAAAAAAACCTAACGACAGGGTACAGGACAGGACGCCGAAGGTGCATGGTAACTGGCTGTCACGACCAAATTGTCATCATAGTAAACTACGCATTACTTACAAGCAAAAACCTAGGACAAGGTTACTGAAACAACCATCGGATTATGATGATAGCTATTACCATAAGACCAGCAGAGATGAATTGCTTAGATGGTTCTCGCAGAAGTGACATCTAGGACAAGGGCATGTGAGGACGTGGATGATAGACGCCCTCTATGACCTGCACTATGAACATGACAGACAATGAAAGCGGACAAAATATACAGTTCCTCAGGTAGACAAAGGAACATCCCTTCACTGCTATTATGTAAAAATGTGTAGAACAGGTGAATATGCATGTGACACCTGTTTTACACATTTTTACATAATAGCAGTGAAGGGATGTCCCTTTGTATACCTGAGGAACTGTATATTTTGTCCGCTTTCATTGTCTATCATGTTCATAGTGCTGGTTTATTAAATACTCGGGTTAGCTTTTTTCTGGTTTGTAAACCAGACATAACATCCCGAGACACGGGTACTGAAATAGATCATTGAAGAAGAATCCTGATAATTACGATAAGATGACACAATAACAATCCAGAAGACTTACATGTACAAGGACAACATCCTAGGAGAACAACTTCATCCACTTCGTCTATCATTCCATTAAGATCAACAAACTTTATTGTATGCCTGGTTTGTAGGAGACACACAGAATACTTACCTAGCTTACACAAGGACAACATCGAACATTACTCATCGATTACATGAAGATAAGGAAAATAAAGTCACCTGGTTCGTGGACCAAAAGTAGCTCCCAAAGATAGATCCTTGCCAGGGGAATTCCGAGGTCTTGGCAGCTATTTTAGGCTTTCCTACTTCGTCCATCATGGCTAATACAACAGACAAACTACTGCATATCGTATGCCTGGGATTCATTTCACAAAGCTTTTTTTTTCAATGACAAATGACTAAAATCAGTGACAAATCTGCTGATAACGAATCAGAAGCAAGGATTTCAGTAGCTTATAACAAAAACTGTAATTTGTCACTGATGCCAAGTTTTGTGAAACGCCCCCAGGTTCGTAGGAGAAGAACCCTTACCTGGTTTGTACACCAGAAGTAGCCCCCTAAGACAAGGGTGCCGAAGATGGATCCAGGCCAGGGAAGGTCCGACGTCTTGGCATCACGGAAGATGTGCCAGGTTTCCTCAGTGGGCACCCCGCACGACGTGTTTCCATAGACCTGAGTAGTGTTGGGGATCGCTGACATGAAACGGAGACGTAGAGTCTCCAAGGACCAGTCGATCTCAGCGAAGGCTGAAAGAACAAAAACAAATCTTCAAAAATTACAAAATTTGCTTTCGGATGAGTGTGCGGGTCCGACGGGGGCGATAATACAAGAACCTTTCTGGAATTAAAAAGAAGTAAAATAGTTTTTTTCGGGGTGGCCGGGTGTCGATGAATGTATTTGAATTTTAAATTCATCGGTTACGAGAAAAATGCCGTTGGTCTCACAATGCGTAGCATTTACTTAGAAATAAATTATATAATCACAGACTTATATCTTGAACAAACAAAATATAAACAAACAAAACTCACCGATTCCCATGAGAATGAAAGCCCCTATCATCATGACAACGGCTTGGATCGCATCCGTGTAGATGACGGCTTTCAGACCACCGGCTACCGTATACACAGCGGTGAGGAGAAGCAAGACGATGACGGAGGTATAGACGTCCCAACCTAAGGACTGCTGGATGACTAAGGACCCGGCGTACATCTCTCCCTGCAGAACAGCAGAATGTTCAAGACTCCAAATTCAAGTTTTATTGGCTGTATTATTGTATAATATAGAAACTTGCCATACTTTAGTGTTACCTACAGTGTAAATATAAACTAAACATAATAAGACAATGTATAGCATATAGATATATAGCAAGACAAAGATTGAATATAATTCTAGATCACATCAGATTGACCTCTTGTTTTGCAGAGAAGAAGTTGATAGAGGAGACATACTTTGGCGAACGAGCAAGTTAAAAATGAATAATAATTTTGGAGTATTGAAATAATTGTATTTTGAAATATACGGACAAACTCATCTACACAAAGAAACCGAGTAAATACCACTGCCCCTTTCACTTTCACCGCCCTCCGGCTACGTTTATTTTTTATCCCCTTCCTATGTTTTCCTTTTCTCCATGATTGTAACTCTTCCAAGTACAGAAGAGCTTCTCCTAATTGATCCCATTGACGATTGGCAAGGTACTTTCATCCCGTTTTTGTTTGTTTCTTGGGGTCTGTGTAGCAAAGTCCTCATGTGTGTTGAATAATTATATGCTACAAATTGTATGCAAGAGCAGATCCAGTTTGACCCTTCATATAAAATTGATCGAGTCCTAAGTAAACTTGGAAATGACTGTGTAAATATATCCACTGTAGAGGAGCTATAAAAAGAGAAATAAAGAGCACGTATTACCGACCGAGTTAAGTGTGTTTACCAGACAACTGAAGTATGGACATATCATCGGCTGTTTTATGTGTCAAAATCCAGTTTGTAAAATTGCGTGAAAAAAAGCCAATGTGCTTTACAAAAGTTGGATATTATTATTGTGACGGTTATTCAAATATAAATATGCTGAGGCGTTTAAAAGGCCCCTGCCATCCAAATGCAAGTTTATTCCTGTTGGTGTGTAGTCCTCTATAATCTTATATTTTGATATTATAATTCTGAAATATTTGTGTTCAAACTTAGCTAAGCTCCGCCCTAAAAAAACCCTCCAGACCTCATTCCCCTTGTGACATCATCTGCCAGTCATGAATGAGCTAACTTGAGAAAGTGGTATGTAAGTTTGCCAGGGTGGACCACCTGTAACAATTCGTAATACAATAGCAACATAAAGGTTGCTATGTCAGACATGCTGTAGCATCACCAGGAAGACAAAGACAATGATGACGTACTGTATATGTATGAAAGCATGCAATTATATTATGAATGTGTGCTGAGCTGGGTGAAATTACATACCATTGTCTATTATAGAATATTAGTTTAGCCGACTGTTTAGTCTGACATGTTCTAAAGAGTGGCGCGTATCCATCGTGTAAAAGATCTATGTATATTTTGGGTCATGCGTACCGAAGCGAAGGATATTAGCAAATGAATGAAATATTTCATCACCACACGCGCGTGTGAAGGAAGCATGTTAATACATTTACTTGATAAAGGCGACTTCGCATAGGATGTCATGTTATCAACAAAATGGAGATGCCCATGTCGTGCTGAGATACTTTACATTATGGCAAGTTCATACCACTCTCATACACTTTGTCAGGGATTCTTATGGATTAAAGGTACTATGTCCCATTTGCAGCCAACATCAAATTCTGTAGAACGTTGCAGGAATCATGAACATGTCACATAATCATATCTGTGAAATTTAAACGTTAGCAGTGTCCTAATATTCAAACAATGCAAGGAAACCTGATTTTTTTTCTTCTAGACTTCACTGTCAGACACTACTGAGTGACTGACTGATTTTTTTCTCTTTGGTACTAACATACATGAAATAAGTTGTGAAGGTACATGAGCATTTGTCTACACGAATCAGTGTCGGATCCAGGGGGGGGGGGGGGGGGGGGGGGGGTGGGCCCGTACCCTGGGAAAAATACAGTTAAAACACGTTAATTTTACCTTTTTTTTTTAGATCCCCCCCCCCCCCCTCCCGCTTATTCACTGGCTGGCTGGCTGTTTCGCCGCTAAATATTCTCTCCGTGACATGAATAACCAAATTCCTGCAACGGCCAAAATGAAACTGATTGAATCTTTGGGCAGCACAAAACTAGTACTTTATGCTAGGAGTCCACTGGGCCAGCGCCAGTTGGTGCCAGTTCGCGCCAAAGATTATGTGATTGGCGCGTAGTGGCTCGCTGTGGCGCCGAATTAATGTCCGCTCGGCATGTGTCGCCAAGTGGAATAAACTGGGTGCCATTTGGCATGCGCCAAATGCCACCCGTCTTGCTCCAAAATGTTGCGCCAGTTTGCGCCAGTTCGCGCCATTACACGGCCATTTGATTCCAAAATTCACCCTGTTGGCGCCATTCGCGCCAATAGACGGCTACTTTGCGCCACTTGGTGATTACTGTTTGTGCCAAAGGTCGCCAAATTGGTTTAAACTTGCCGCCGCTTGGCGCTACTTGCCGACTATATAAATACCGGCCACCGGCTACCTGGTTCAGACCCTCCTCAGCTGCTGTATGAACAACATCTCTACTAAATATTTACAATTTTGATATGTCTGAGGCTTTTGATAATGTTGGAGTGATGATACTGCTCCATCAGAAGATGAGAGATGGTGAGGTGACCACTGCCTATTTGGCCATGTGGCGCGAAATCTCATTGGCGCAACTTGGCGCGCGCCATTACATTCCAGTGGATTCCAGTAGGCGGATTGTTTGCGCCAAAGGGCGATATGTTCGCGCCATTTGGTGCCACTTGGCGGACACTTGGCGCTGATTGCTCGATGCAAGTGGCGCGACGAAAATTTCAAACATTTTGAAATTTTCTTGCCGCCACATTCAAATTTGGTGCCGTTACGGGCCACCACGAGCCAGTTGGGAGGCAGTTTGAGCCACTACACGCCACTAGGCACCTTATTGGCGACACTGGGCGCCACAGTAAATTGCATTGGCGCAAACTGGCACCAACTGGCGCTGGCCCAGTGGACTCCTAGCATTAGTGATTGCAACCACTAAAGTCTGATGATCGTTATTTTCCCACTTAAAGACATTTTCAAAACCTTTCGTTTTGAGGGACGTTCAAATGCCGTTGAAATTTAACCGTTTCATTTGTTTGGCCTGCAAATGGGACATAGTACCTTTAATAGGCAATAATACAATTAATATCTCAGAATAACTAAAGTTATTTCTTGTGTTAAGGTTTCGTTTAGGTATCTTTCAGTAAATAAGGATTTTCTGAAGCATAAAGTTTAATGTTTTATGATTCCTGTAATCATATACTATTAAGTGTACTGAATCGAGTAAAGTCAGATAATTAGGGTATCATGATTTGATCAAGTTCTCAAAATACTTACCGATAACATGATAACGATAGCCATGATAAGGTTGATGATGGAGATAAATATTTGCAGACGATCCGCTCCAAATCGAAGCTTGAGGTATTCAGGGACCGTCGAAACCTGGGAAAAGAGTGAGGTCGTAAGGCCAAATAAAAAAAAACATGTTTAGCGTCCTGTTTTTTTGAAAAATAGGAAGGAGGAGGCCTTTTTTTTTTTTTTTTTTTTTCTTTCAAAATGGCCGCTCAAAATGGCCTCTCGATACATTTTCCCTCACAGTCGGGCTATTTTTCAGAATGGCCGCCGACATTTTTTTAAATTTTTTTAAAATCAGAAATAGATCCATTTAGCAGGGTTTTTCATGTTTTTTCTTTTAAAAAAAATTTTTTTTTTTAAATTTAAAAAAAATAAAAATATTTCAAAAAAAAAAAAAAAAAATAGGAGGCAGCCCCCAAAAAGGAAGCGGGCGGGGACGCTAAACATGTATATTTTTTACATGGCCTTAGGGATTAATTTTTTTAGTGCTTATAATACATCCACAGGGGCATCCATATATAAAAATTGTAAACATTCACTATCCACCCAATTTTCAAAATTTCCCAAAACTTTGTATGACCTTTAAGCATACTTTGAATCTGGTCAACTTTGCTTCTGTTGATGATCAAATACAGAAAACACCCTTTATAGATCAGGGAGAGTGTGATAAAAGCACACAGTAGGAGCAGTGCAATTTAAATAACAAGGGATGGATTAGAGTTTTTTCTGAAATGAAATGAAAGGGCTATTTTACTTTCAAGAGTCCTTTCACTTCATTTACGAAATAACCTCTCTTTATATCTTAGAGACACTTTTTTGAGGCATTATCTTCAAAAATCCGGACAGCTTAATAATCACTCTGAGATGGAATAGAATACCAATACGAATTGCATTATGCAACGTCTAGACATGAAGGTCGAATCTCAACTTTATTTTTCTTATTCTTCTTTGACAGTTTGACATACCTCTGAAGCGAAGTAGACAGGAACAAAGATGAACCCTAATAGCAACAAGCAGTTCAAGGCCTGTAAAGGAAACAAATTAAAAGTAATTCAGTGTCAAATGCTTACAGCGCTATTTTTTCAGAATTCATTTTGGGGAAAGATCATTACGTATATTTTTGATATGTATTATACATACCACTAATAATGGAATCCGAATATATATATATATATATATATATATCGCCGATAAGAATAAATCACAAATACATACTTGTACTGGTCAATACCTCTTAGACCTTATACAGTCAAACCTGTATATAAAAAATATTGGTCTTTATAAAGAGGTGGTCTTTATGTACAAGTTTTTAAGTACACAGTCATTTCAATGAGAAATACTGTTAAAGGGAAAATAAATGGTGTCTTTATAGACAGATGTCTGTGCATGTTTTGCTGTATATCATATAGGAGAGCCGATAAAAACCACGACTCGTGTTAACAAAATAGTTAAAAAACAAAAACAAATATTCATGAATGCCCTAACCTGGAATTCGTAAATGACTACACCATATCCAGATAAAGATGCAGTCCCGGAAACTCCTATGAACGTCGAACTACCAATGTTGGTCACCACTAAGGATAAACCTACCTGTTAAATTGTTAGAGTGGATGAGAAGGGAAACAAGGAATATTGCATTTTATACCCAAAATATGGGAGAAGTACTTTTCATAATTATGACGATGATGATGATAATACTAATGATAACAATATTAATAAAAATTATTATTATGATAATTATAATAACAATGTTAATGTTTTTAATAATGATAATAATAATTATTATAATAACAATATTTATAATACAATAATAAAAATGATAATAATAGTGATGAGGATGATGAGGATAAATAGTAAATAGCATGGAATTGTTTTTCGACTAATGCGAATTCTGTCCTTTTATTTCAGTGATATTTTTTTCAGAAAAGAAAACAAGAAGGAAAAGAAAGAAAACGGAAAGTAACTGTTTTCATGTGTAGTTGTATGTGAGTTTAAGAGGTGGGATGGATTTCGGTTATCCGAGTGTTGTTTTTGTTCATTTGTTTGTTTTTTTCTTTTGTTTGTTATGTTATTTTGAATACCATCGGGGTGCCCCCCCCCCCTCTGTTCGTGCTATTCCAAGGCCGAATCCCATAAATATTATGTATTTATATATATATATATATATAACTATGTGTGTGCCCACTCATCTTCAAAATCTGGGATATGCCACAGATTGGGATAAGGAGAAAATACTTACAAGATACCATGGCATTTGTCGACCCGCCAAAAAGTAGCCGCTTGTGCTGTCCTTGCCGCCGCCCCATGATGCCTGTTATAAAAACAATAAAACAACAATAAAAGTAAATTGATTTTGACGGTTATTCCTCAGTCACACCGATGGCACACCGACACCAATTCCACCAGTACGTTTAAATATTTTGGCTAGAGATTCTTTATTTGTTTGTAAGGCGATCAACAAACAAACAAATGTTCATCTTCGAAAAGTTATAAAATCATCTCAATACAATGGAACAATCTCAGGGAGACGGAGTATCTTTCAAAATACCCCCAGTGGTTTTCAATACACTTTGTAGCACATAATAAATACCCGAGAGCGAGAAAAAAAAAGTTATTAAAGAGAAGGTTGAGTTCTGGGGAGAGGTGAACAGTAATTTGTGAGCGTTTTTCATGTTATTATGCAAGTGTAGAAAAAAATATGAGAAAAAACGTTCACTGAAAAGCATGGCTCTTCAAACGCCTTCATATTCTAAATACGATATGTAACAGCTTAATAATGGGGACCATATTTTATACCACATATTTGCGTAGTACGGTCTCATATACATCTTTATGTGTACAGTACTTGTTAATTTACCAAGACTGGACCAAATTTCTTATCATTTTGATGATTCCAGAAAATTGCAGAACACACCAATACTTATATGCTGCATGATCAACTTTTTCTGATCGATTCCATACCGTTTCTTTCACAATGCAATCGCGTGACCAGAACTCGACTATGTCTTTAAATTATGATGCGTGGTATATCCATTTCAAGAACAATGTATTGCAATTCGGTGCTCTTGGGTAGAGCATGATTTAGTAGAAAGGGAGGAACGTGGATACAATACTTTGATCTTTGTCGAAAGATGTACTTTGAACTATAAGGCCTAAAAAAAGCAACTTGTTGTATTGCCCTTTATGCTACGGTCACAAAGGTTCGTACGAAAGATAATTTCGTACGAATCTCCCTGTTTTTCCATTGTCTTTTTTTTTCGCCCTCTTTGGACCGATATTTTTCAGTTTTTAATGTTTTTTTTGTTTTTTTTCCCGCCCTCTTTTGGCTGATTTTTCTCAGTTGTTAAAGCTTTAACACGTGTTTCAGCGTCATCATTCCATTCATATCTTTTTCACCTCATAATAATCCATGGTTTGCAATGTTGTGTTGAGACAACACTCTGTGCTTCCCAGCTGACGAAGTTGGTTTTCAACTACCTGTAAAACTTGCTAGCAATGTGAAGATTGTTGACAAATTGTACAGGTGGTCCCGGGCATAAAGTGGTCTCTTTACTAACCAAAGAAGGGACCGAAACTGACACAGGAAAAGACAGTCAGACACTTTTGCATGCAACAGGTTCAAATCATAGCCTATTACAAATGTTTGTATCTATAAAACTGGCCCACTTTAAAGAATATGCTCTTCATTCCTGTTTCAGTTCTGGGCATTGTCCCAAGGGTATGTTTGTTCCAATTGTATGATTGTATCCTTTTTTTGAGTCTGAAATGAGTCAAATCTGACAAGAAATTCAAACAATTCAAATTCATGAATGTTTTAACTCACTCAATGCGCAGCATTTAATTCACGGGCGGACAGCACTGAATGACCACCAATAGAAAAACATGTTAATATCCACTCTTTGAAGCTCGATTTGAGACTGTTAGGCAGTGGCGGATCCAGGGGGGGGGGGGGCCGGCCCTCACCCCATTGGGAAAAAAACGTGTAACACACGTTATATTTACCTTTTTTGGAGATGGGCCCCCTCCCCTGGCGCTTAAGGGGGGGGGGGGGTGGTGCGATTTTTCAAATATTCGAGGGCCCCCCCCCCAAAAAAAAATAGTGGTCATTTTTGGACCTGCTTCAAATGTTGTTCCTTTGACCGCAAGCAACGTCGATACCAAGACTATCATCATTGTCTTCATCATCGTCTCTGGCATCATCTTCAATCTTCATATCCGTCATCGCCACTGTCTTTATCTGTCGTTTATCTCGTCATCATCGTCATCGTTTCGTCGCCATCGTCAGTTTCGTCAGTGTTGATTTGGTTTGATTGTTAATCCTTATTCTTGAACGCTTTGCTGAACTAATTAACGATCCTTAATTTCCTTGTATTGGATTTTTGATGATTGACATTAGTTTTTTTTTTATGTGATTGATGATTGATATACTTGTGTGGTTATCCGACACATGCTCCGCCGACGATTGCTCCGCCGACATTAACTCCGCAAAACGCGACAATTGCTCCGCGACGTTTCCTCCGACGTCAAATGCTCCGCCGACAGTTGCTCCGCCGACAGTTGCTCCGCCGACAGTTGCTCCGACGACAACTGCTCCGCCGACATTTGCTCCGCCGACATTTGCTCTGCCGACAATTGCTCCGCATGAAGCGATAAATGCTCCGGTGACAAATGCTCCTCGAACGACAGTTGCTCCGACGACAGTTGCTCCGCCGACATTTGCTCCGCCGACAATTGCTCCAGCGACATTTGCTCCGGATGGAGCGACAATTGCTCCGGATGCATTTGCTCCGACGACATTTGCTCCGCCCCAAAAATGCCCCGTAAAATAAAAATGCTTCGCCGACAATATTTTTAATATTTTTTACTACCAGATAATTTACACTAAGAAATCATTACATGTCAGGGGAAGTAAAAGCTTATTTTGCAATCTTTCTATTTTAGAGCAGGGATTATGTTTTTAAACGGATGCGAAGAGTTCTTTCTGATATTTACATGGATTTATATCATGATTGTTGATAATTTGTAATGTATGCATTGGTAAGAGTGTGCCATAGACGAGAAACATACGAAGTTTCGTCGCAAAACGCAATACATTGTATCTCCATATTTTCAAAATAAGGTTGAAAATACTTAAATAAAAGAAGAAAAAAACGAGAATTCTTTTGATAATTTTTATAATTTCAAAATATTTCCTTTGTAATTATGTAATGAGCGGGGTATCAAGTGAAAGGTATTTTTTGTATTCTACGACGGTGGTGTCACTTTAATTTCTCTAAAAATGGCGCTTGACTCGTTTTGTGATGAAACTTTTCATTTTGTCATCACATTTTTGTGAATGCTAATAATTAGTATAGATATATTGACTGCTATGAGAGGCATTGCAGTTTCTATAGGCTCAAGGACGTTACATCCTGCTATGACCCAGAGGCGCGCCGCGGTGTCCCGAATCTCTCGAATATTAAAGTAGTCCACATTTCATATACCGAATTAACATAAAAATATACAAAGAATTCTTACCCTATCCTTTACTTGGTTAAAGATTAGTTAAAACATCACAGCAAATCTGGGAAACTTTTTGTTAGTCTTCGCTAGAAATTTGCCTGAATGTTAAGATCATTGCGGAATCGCACACACTAAGCGACCAAATCGCAGACAAACTGTATTGTACCCGCGCTCGCACAAACTTGTTACACGTAAACCAACGGGGATCTCGCCAAATTTGATGTATGCAGCCGGCCAGTTAATCGGGGCATGAGGGCAATAAAAGACTATTGACCGGTAGGCGGGTACTCTCTAAAAAAAAATCGAGTGATCACGGACGTCACTCCTCTGGAGAGTGAAAACGTAGTGAAAAGAGAGTGGACATTCACCCTTTTCTTCTTAGAGAGCACTCTAAAATCAATCGATGTTCACTCCTAAACAAGTGATCACGGACGTCACTCCCAAGAAAGTGAAAATAGAGCGAAAATTCACTCTTTTTTTTAAAGAGAGTAAGAGGGCATTCTTTAAAAGACTATGGACTGGCAGACGGGCATGGCTAAAATCACGACTTCAAGAGAGGCATATTATTTTTATTATCCCCTCGCCGACGAAGTCTGAAGGGATATAGTAACGCTGCCGTCTATCCGTCCTTCCTTTCTTCCGTCCGTCCTTCCGTAACAAATCTGGTTTCCGTTCGATAACTTTAGTAATGTATGAAGGATTTTAATGACATTTGATATGAAGGTACAAGGTATCAAACACAGCCTACGTTCGACTTCGGAGTATGTAGGTCAAAGGTCATAGCTCATTAAATATGCGATCTTGGTTTCCGTTCGATAACTTTAGTAACTTGTTTGACGGATTTTAATCAAATTTGATATGAAGGTACATGGTATTAGAATACAGCCTAAGTTCAATGTCGGACTATATAGCTCAAAGGTCATAGCTCATTAAATATGCAAAAATAGCTATTTATGTATCTGAAAATGTGGTTTCCGTTCGATAACTTTAGTACTGTTTGATAGTTTTTAATGAAATTTGATATGAAGGTTCATGGTATTAAAATACAACCTAAATTCGATTTTGGAGTATGTTGGTCTAAGGTCATAGCTCATTAAATATGCGGAAATTCCTAGCTATATGCGAAAATGTGCCTAACTTTAATAAATAGTATAGTCTAAATAATGGAGGTAACTTTTCTGACGTGTAGGCCATTGCACCCGGCGAGGGGACGCTACACTTGACTTGCGTTGACTTGTTTCCATTATGTTTCAATGATAATTTTCCGATACACACGGGTTTACAATTATAGGTCAAGTTGTTGAACATCATGAAAACGTACCTACTTGAGGGTTAAACAACCTCGTATTCGATATCTCTCTATCCTCTTGATCTTTGTTATCAAGGTAGAAGAAACCGACCTTGTAAACAGGAAAGACCGTCTTAGAAAATTTTTATGCCAATTTTCACCCCTAAGATTCAAAATAATAAATCAAAAAATTATCCTGGTAGTAACCTTGATGCATCTACCACTCATCATCGATATACTTAATGGCACTTTAACGCGCTACAAAAGTGAAATTCTACGTTAAGTAGTTCATTGCCATTTTAGTGCGGTATGGTACATGTATGTAATCCCGTAAGATTTTTTTGCCAAAATAGATTTTGTTGTTGTTGTTGCTGTTTTGGCTCCAAAAGGGTTCCAATTGGCCAAAAATGATGGGGTTCAATTTTCAGACCCCTCCTTCACTTCCTGGGGGTCCATATTGGGCGCCAAAATGGCTTATATGAAGCGCAATAGGGAAATTTGGTGTCTTCGGGAAAATTTGAACCCCATCAATTTCTGATAGCTTGGACCCCAATGAATCCAAAAATGCAAAACAAAATTGGCACAAAAGTCCTACGGCAGCTGTTTCAGTGACATACCGTACCACACTATTTTGGTCGCGTAGCACGATAATAACTCGGGCGTCGCATCTGAAGGAAAAATGGCCTGCCCGAGTTTACTCGGGCTCCATAATTATTGTTATTCATTTTATTCAAATTGTCTAACTTGCCAAAAGGGAAGTAAAACATCGTTGACATTCAATATCTTGACGTAATTATAAAAAAAAGCCCTTTGAATTTACCATGAGAAATTTTAAATTGGTTTTACCCCCCCCCCCCCCCCCCCCCCCCTAAAGAACAAAAGAACAAAAATGCTACAAGTCTTGTAGCATTTTGTTCTTTTGTCCTTTATGATTTTTTTTTGTTAACAATCAAGTCTGCCATTACCTCCAGTAATAGTAATGCCGTCACTTTCTCAATCCTTCTCATAAAACCGAATTAATCACATGGTTCATGAAGTAACAGCACCTCCATTTCCTTAAGTATACTAGTATCAAAACATGATTCTCTTAAAAATAGCGGTTGGATACGAAAGCAATAAACGGTGATAGGGTATTGGGTATCGCATTTGTATTGTATAAACACAATGAAATTACCAGTGCTCTTGTGAAGTTATGTGTTCCTGGCAAAAGTGCAAGTTCATAGATGCATTGTGCAAAGTTTGTATGATATAAAGAACTTTAAATCTTTTTGTTGGGGTGGGGCAAATTTTGAAATGAAATCATTTTTAGAATGGCAGACAAAGATGGTTTTATTTCCATTTTCTTCGATTGAGATGATATTCATTATAAAACATCACTTGTCTACCCCCCCCCCCCCAAATCAATCTTCAATTCGCCTATGAATCTATCTTTATCGACTATTATTTTTGTCATCCATTGACATTTTACCTTCGTCGGGAGGGTTTCACGACCTAACTTGTACCCCAATCACACCGCCAGACCGACGGATTCTTGGACTTTCGGTGTATTAGAAATTATTGTTGTGTTTGATGTCAGTCTTGTGTCGGACTCCTTGGTGTAACCAGGGGCGGATCCAACCCGCGGCGAGGGAAGGGGCCCAAAAGGGGGCCAAATTCGTGAGAAAATATTTAGCGGCGACTCAGCCGACCAGCCGAATAAGTGGGGGGTTGTGAAAAATAAACGTTACCATCTCTCTCTCTCGCCCTTCCACTGTCATTATCCCCCTTTTTGACTCTTTCTCACTCTTACGTTCCTCCACTCGAGAAACGAGATCTTCAAGTTTAAGGATTTACAACACTGATGATATGGCTAAGGGGCGTTTCCCAATTTGAACAACGGAGATGTTATTTAAAACTAACAAGGTCGTGGACTGCAGACACAAATCTGGGCAACCCAACTCTCTTTTGAAAGCGCTATGCATTGTATATTAGCATACCTCACAGCTTACGCTTAAGTAATCTAATCAGACACCATTGTCACTCATAGCGAGAGCAATATATTCTTGTATAACATGAAAACAAAGCCATATAATATTATTATTATTATTATTATTATTATTATTATTATCTATCAGGCTTTGACTTACCTCGGTAAATATGGCTTTTTTGTGTGTGTTCCCGGATTACTGAGCAATACGAAAACAATATTGGTCAGTCATCTGGTCACTGCGCTAAAGATATTGAATATACCGATTAATTGCATTTTGAAGCCTTATATAGATAATCATACTTTTTGAGGGTTACTCCTCAATAAAAACTGAAATACCACAGCACTTTCTGTTTGCATCTATTCCATTTTGTATCTTTGAATGTAAATTGTTATTGCCCAGATGAATAAAGTTCGTGTTTTTTCCCGAAAATCTGTTTAAGGCACATGTTTGCATAATAGAAAATAGTTTATCATATTGTCCTCACTCACCTTATGCAATTATTACAAAGCTTTAAAATCACAAGCATCATTTTTGTATTATTAAAAGAGTCTTCGTCCCAAAGCTTCAAACCCATTTTATCCAAAAAAAAAATGAACCTTATAACCTTGAATGAACCTAATATAACGTGCCCGCTTAAAAATTTGTTAGTTAAAAGATATGAATGAAACTTTGGAATTAAAATGTTATGTTTTTCTTTTAAGGAGGATGCCATATTCAACTCTGTGTGGTACAAAACTCTTTCCCTACCTATCAGATATTGTTTTTACCTATTTCCCTTCGCTTTAGTAGGATATAGTTCCAACGATGTCCAGAAACTCGAATGACCAAGGTTTCCTAAATAAGAAGCGGATTTTTACATACAAACGGCTGACCAATTCGGAGGTAAGAATATAAAGATTAAGCTTTTTATAAAGTAATCATACTTTTGCAGTTATCTACAACATCATTCTTCTAATGTTCCTTCAAGTATTATCCGTTGGAAATGGTGAGATTTGCAGGATGTTCTATTGCTGAATGCGCAAATACATGATACATGTACTAATAATATGGTATACAAATATACACTGTCTTGAGAGGTTCTGGTTAAAACTATGCGCAAGAGGTAACTCCAATAGTACTATTTGCTGAGGGGCACAGCATCGAAGCAAATGGTACTTTTGGAGTCACCGAGGCCTATAGTTTTAACCAGTACCTCGAATAGAGGCATGGTATATTTGTTTTATATCCTGCATCAAAAAAATTAAAAAAAACATTTTTGGGAGAATTTTTTTTTTTTTTTTAAATATCAATTTTTATCTAAAAAGATTTGAGATATTTAGTTTTCATTAAATTAAGATTTGAATAAGAAAAAAAATTCAATTAAAAAAAAAAAAATTCATATTTTTTCAACTCCCAAATAGTACTCCCAAAAAGTACTCTCATATAGTACTTTCTAAAAATCGTTCAAATATTTCTGGTCATGTGACGAGCTCTCAACCAATCAAAAGCCAACACATTTTTGATGCAGGATATAATAATATATATGTAAAGAGCTTTGAGAGGACCTTCGGTCCTGAAAAGCGCTATATAAGAACTAGCTATTATTATCATTATCACTTTCAGAATGACGATGTTTGAGCATTACAGTAGCTGTCCTTGTTTGCATTTCGTATTTGATTGTTTGTTGTTGTTTATTCTTCTGGTTTTTTTTTTAGCTTTTGGGGGATAACACCGGGGTGCGCCCCCTATTCGCGCTATTCCAAGGCCGAATCCCATCAACATTATGTATTTCTAGGTTTGGCGCGCCCTATATTGTGTGCCCATCTCATCTTAAAAATCTCGGATATGCCACATATTGGAAAAAGGAGAGTATACAAGATAATTGTTGCTGCTGTTGCTCCTTATGTTTTCATTCTTTTGATTTGCATTTGTTATCTAGTTCCTTCTGCTTAAATCACAAGTGCATTGCCAAACAATAGCGATTAGTGCAGGTCTCGCACGGTTAAACTGTTTGTCTTTGTTATGACTACTGCATTTTTACAAGACTATTAGGAATGAAACGCTCATAAAAAAGTGATTAAAGATAGATTGTGCCATTTATTCACTGTAAGTCATTGGGATATCTCTCTCTCTCTCTCTCTCTCTCTCGCTTTCTTTCTATTTATCTGAGGCCTCTTATTCTGAATTACATTTCTTATTCTACTCTATCATCTACAAATTCCCTCCACATTGTATATGAGTCTTGAACTATTACTTGACGTAATATTCCTATTATTGATCAGTCAAGTCTTTTTTTTCTCGACCTATTTTTTGAAGCGAATTCAATGTATATATATTTTAATTACAAATGACTGTATGTACGGTGACATATTTAATAGTAGTTAGTAGTAGTAGTCGTAGTAGAAGTTGAAGTAGTATTTGTAGTAGTATTTGTAGTAGTAGTAGTAGTAGTATAGCAGCATCAGCGACAGCAGTAGTAGTAGTAGAAGTAGTAGTAGTAGAACTAGTAGTAGTAGTAATAGTAGTAGTGGAAATAACAGTGATAGTAGTAGTTGTGGTTGTGGTAGTGGTGGTGTTAGTAGTAGTAGTAGTGGAAATAGCAGTGGTAGTAGTGGTTGCGGTGGTGGTAGTAGTGGTGGTAGTAGTAGTAGTAATGGTCGTGGTAGCAGTGGTGTTAATTTTATTAGTAGGAGTGGGAGTAGTGGTAGTAGTAGTAGTAGTAGTAGTAGTAGTAGTAGTAGTAGTAGTAGTAGTAGTAGTAGTAGTAGTAGTAGTAGTAGTAGTGGTAGTAGTAGTAGCAGGGAAAGCAGCAGCAGTAGAAGTATAGTAATGGTTGTTTATGAAATACGGTAGGCCTATACATCAAGTTCAGATATTCATACTCCATTAAAGAAAACTGCACTGAAATTCACAATTAATTGATCGACGAATGGGTGTGTTTGTCTAGTTACCAATATGTTATAAGCATATGATAAGTACAAATTTGAAAAAATGCGCAATTCGATCGCCGTCAACGTTTGGTAGTTGTTAGATTTTGATGAAGTGAATAGGGTTACATTGAGCTAAAGGTTCTCACCCATATTCCAATTGAGAAAACGGCAGTAAAATGCACGACGATGACCACGATGTCCCAAACTTCTAATTTTCCATTCGCTATTAGATTTCCCATAGTGGTATGCCTGCATTGGAAACAGAGGGAAAAGAATAAAAAGTTTTACCTGACTTCCATGATGAAACAGGTGTATAATTGTAAGTAAGCAACCAGAGGACTGACGGCTTTAAATCCTCTCATAGGGACTTGATATAATGGGGATTAAATCCTTACCAAAGGGAACTAGCACATCGATTTGGTTTCGAACCCAGGGCATCCCGATTTTTTGTTTCTTCTGTCTTTTTCCCCTTTTACCAATATTTTTTCCTCCATATTTGTGTTATTATGTAACCTTTGAGGGTAGTCATACTATCAAGCTTTGCTTAGTTTGTCAACCCTCCTGTTTGGTGTTTTCGATTAGTTACAGCCAGCCTTACTTTTTTCTACATATATTCTTTTGTCATATGTACATTTGCAATGTTTGTTTGTTATATATTTGTAAAAATGCAACAAAAAAGAAAATCAAACAGAAATAGATAAATCAAATCAAATCAAATCAAATCAATATAAACATAATAAAAGCAGAAATCACATGGAAAGAGCGGAGTGAATTAATAAATGGGGATAGCAAAAGTTTAGAGCAGTCTTGTCAGGTACAAATTGTGTGTGCTCTTTCTCTCTGAAATATTTAACGGGGTCTTCCCAAGGTGAAACAAAAAATGCCCCGACCGTTATAAAAAGCATTAAGGTCTATGATCAAACTGAATGATTCATTGACAATTAGTACAGTATCAGTGACATATTTCTACACAGGTCTACACTCATAAGTATGATAAAACAATTAATAAAACTCAAATCGTGATAACATTTGCATTACAAACTTGGATACTTGCATTGTACTTACAACAGGTGTATGATGACATTATGTCTCATTGCCTTAGCAGCTATACAACTCTTAATTATTTACTTACGGTTTAAAAATGCATTCGTATGATAAGCTTACCTTATCCAGTCGTCCTAAAAAAAGTTTAGGGGGTTTCCTCTCATCTACGAAAGTCACCTATAACAGATCGCGCTGTTGTTTCAAGGTTTCCTGGTGCTTTGGTTTCACTCAAATCTAGGCTGTAGCTTTCACCTACAGTTTGTACTTTATCGGTCACGTGACTATACCGACCAATCAACATACGTAATAACATAAAGCCTGGGTTCTGCCCACCGCAATCAATAGACTCGAGCAAATTTTGATTTTATAGCATCGTATTCTCGTATTCCATTGCCAGTAGGCATTGTTAATCTTAAAGCTGCAAAGATGCTAGTAGTTACACGTATACAAGAATTTTCGTTTGCAACAATAACCCGTGTATGCACTGATTCTCACTCTCTCTCTCTTGATGTGGTTTTGGTTAGGATGTGAGGGTGGTTGTAAATCCAATTATCCATCACCAATCTAATAATAATAATAATAATAATAATAATAATAACACAGCACATTATATTACACACCCTACCAGTTAATATCTGTATAATACCGACATTGAAAAATGATGACAGTATACGAGTAAACACGCCACAATGTGGTATGAAAATGAATTTCCTATCTGATGGCAACAAATATTCTTCGCTATAGCTTTGTCCGTGTCAAACACTAAAGCTATACAAACAATTCTTGATAATAATTATTGATGCACTTCATAATCTGGACATTCTTGGGTGAAGAAAAAACGCTATGCAGGATATGGTTTTATATATTTTACGGACTTTTTCATTCTTTAAAAAAGCAAAAATACGTAGATGATGATGATCATGAGGAGGAGGAGGATAGAAAGATGATAATAATGATGGTGATGATGATGATTGGATATAAAAATGTAGATATGTTGAGATATTCTGATTAACATTCTTCATGGTGTTTTGAATAGTAAGATAGAAATCGTCGGCCGCCCGCAAGAGGGCCGTAACCATGGTAACGATAATCTAATGTCAGAAAAAGAAGCAAAATGAGGTGTAACAATATTTAAAAAGCGTGTATTTTAAACGTTTTTTTAAACTTGCTACTTTTTTGTAATGATTTCATCACCGTGAAGACATTTGGAGAAACAAACATATTACTATATCTACAATGTTGATCATTAGGGGCGTAGAGTGGGTCCAGCCATCGGGGAAGGGGAAGAGGAGGGCACTGTTGTAAGGGGGCACCAATCTTGCTAGGTTAAGGAAGTGTAAAAGTAAACGGCCATAGAAAGATTGAGTGGAAATGCAATCATCTTGTTGCCTTTCCCTCTCTCATTCCCTTTAAAAAAAAATCCCTTTCACCGTTCGATTGAAGGGGCATGTACCCCGTGTGCCATCGTTGCTACGCCATGTACTATAATAGACGTAGCCTAAAAAATACATGTTTATGATTACAGGAATATTCGTATGTCTTTTAGAAATATCTAAACCGCTGAATTTTCCCAGGAAACTCTTCCTACATATTATGTACATTTTGAACAGAAGGAATGCATAATAATAATAAGAGTTCTTGGTGTAACGTGTGAATTATTACAATTATTTTAATGTACCATTATTAGATGGATGTATACTCCACAAATTACTCCATACCTTATATTTCTATATTATTTCGTTATATTCTATTATTCATTTGCTGCACGCCGGTTCGGCTTTTTATCCGGAATTAAACACATTCTACAATAATTTGTCCCGGCTACAGAAATTTGCTTTTGAAATAGCTTTGGTGACAAATATTTATCTATATTACAATCACGTGTTAACTTTTTTCATTCCGAGAGTTTATGAGCAGCGAAAAGAAATTCTTTCACGCGAGAAGAAAAGAAAGAGAGAAATTCTTGCAAATGACGAGAAAAAAAGAAAGAGAGGAAGAAAATGCCTTTCAACTTGTCCAAAGGGTTCATCTATCTTATTACCCTTCATGTACACCGAATGACAGATGCAAGAGTAAACAAGAACTAATCCAAAGTTCAGAATCTTTCTCTTCTCCCGATCCCATTATACTTTTATTCTAGCAGGCGTTTTTATTTACTTTCCAGTTTCAAAAGGCTTTCCATAACATTATTCGTCTTTCAAGTATCTGAATATTTTTTTTTATTGTAAACAAAATCAGAAAAGAGAGGAGAAGAAATGGGTGTGTCAACATTGTAGCAGTGTTAAACAATCACGGGAAAGAGGTGAATAAATTCGAACTTTGTCATACTTCTGTGATATCATAGTCTACAACTAACAATGCTGGTTTGACTGATTAAAAAAAAGAATCCCCGCCTTTGAGCTGAATGTGTTTGGGGACATCTTTTCCCAAACATGAGCGCATTATTACGAGACATCTCAACATCTTCCACAATATTTGACTACAAACATTTGCTATATAAATTGTGTCAATTCATATTTTTGTCATGTTTTGTCGTTTTTCCGTCCACGGAGCACACACTTGAGCTCTGTATTTACGTGTCTTGTTTGAATAATTGCACATTTACAGGGGTAAATGCCCAAACAAGCCAAGATATCGGTAAGAGTTGAGTTAGGGTGTTGCGAAACCTTTTTGATGGATCAGAGAATTTATTTATTGTGGTATAAAAAAAAACATTGTACATGGCAGCCTTTCGGCTGAATTGAGTGCAGTTTACATAAGTATTAACACAAGGATATTGCACAAAATACAATAGTATTACAAAGTCATTAAAAATAGTACATTCATAACAAACAATTATAGGTACACCTTAGATCAAAGAATATTGATGGTGGGATAACGGAAGTGGGTAATGGATGTGGAAAAATAAGTGTTTTATGATATGACTTAAGCAAATTCATAGGAGGAATATAACAGTTGAATAAATTATGATCAGTGCTAAGAAAAATTATCTGTTTTGCATGCTTCAAAGTAGGCCTATTGTCATGTGGGTGCAAGGTACATGTATATGGAGAACAAAATGGACGTATAATTCACCTAATGTGGTGTTGCGTTAAATTGATAGCTCATTGACCCTCAGTCTTCAACAAGAGCTTTAAAAACCAACAAAACATTTTAAATTGGAGGATTTAACTTGGACAACTAGATCAAACACCATTTGGTTGGTATGCTTGTAAGTAAGCAACCAGGGGACCGACGGCTTTCAGTCCTCTCCGGGGAAATTGGTAATGAGGATTAATGCCTTACCAAAGGGCACTAATGCATTACATTAGGATACCACTGCTCTACTACTGAGCCATCGCGCCACCTTAACAGTGGTTTTATATTCACTGTAAAGATGTAAACATAAAAGGTGGATGCAGACAATCACCAAAAGAAATCTAAGCTCAAAGATACGGGCTGCACCCCCCCCCCCACCCCCACCTAGAAGTATTGAGTGACCAATACTCGGGCAATGTTCGTCTCATAGCAAGGTGGTCTCTTTGTATTTACTTTAAAAAATTAATACACTTTATTAAACAAATTTCTTTTAAACGCTAAAAACAATCGTCGCTATTTGAAAAGGTCAAAAAATGTGGTTCGTTAGCCTCGCTCACTCACAATATCTAAAACCCGGATTTTTGTTCATGTTGGAGCGTGATACAATAGACATCCATGGCGAATATGTGCCCAAAAATAAATGCCCATGAAAAAAAAGTCACGTTCATCGGTAGGCTTAAAGGGAGTCATACACGTGCAGCACCCTTACTTTCCCCTTCCCGATCTCCTCCCCATAGCCGACCTTCCCCTTCTCCGCCCCTCCAATACACCATTGCTCTGACATCAACTCTTTACAGGCCCGTTCAATGCAGGCGGGTATCGTCAACCACACGATGAAGAATTTTCGCACGTTATTCAAGACTGATCACATTTTGCGTGATGTAATGATAAGACGTGTCAATAGTATCCAGAAGCACCAATATTTGCACAATCCATATTTGAAAAACGAGATAGATTATATATATATATATATATATATATATACCTCCTTGAGGGATGTTTAAAGTGTATTGGGCACGACTTTTCACGATCTCTCTTCGTGATAATGCATATTCAAGGCTGTATAGCCGCCGGGGCGAAATGACCACGGTCTTCTTTCCTGAGAAAAGAAAAAGAAAAAAAGAATCAGACTATGCCTGGGTGGGATCACGCGCCCCTCTTTCCTTCGGACCGAGACATAGCCGGTGGGGTACCCGCGGGAAGTTATTTTCCTTTACCCTCCCCATTTCCCTTTTGGCCCTAGAAATTGCCGGTGGGAAAATAAATTTGAGGATATTTTGTTCTTTACTCGCCACCATTTCCATCCCCTGCCTTACAAAGCCTAAATATCAAGGGCCGGTAGGATTCCCCAAATTATGTTTTCTAGACAATGAGGGGGGGGGGGGTCACATCCTTTTTAAAACAGTATAGGATCCGCCCCTTATCAAAGGGCAAGGTGTGTTTGCCTTTTTATTCTCTCTCCCACGTGTTTCCAAAATGTCTTTCCCCTACCATTGTTATGTAAATTTTTATTTGGATGATAAGAATGACAGTGTAACAGATAAGGTATTGTGTAGAAATCCGTAATCACAGGAAATAGCCATACAGTAAACATGGCCTAGTAAGATCTGGGGTATGGAGTCGTATTTTTCTTGCTTTAAATTTCGAACTTTAACATTTTTTTTTCTCTCTGAATATTGTATCAAGCATGTCAAGCCATGTGTTGTTTATGACAACTATCCCCTAACAACTATGTCAACGCAGTTATTAATACAAAGTCCTGTTGATAAGCTTTTTATTACGCTCTACTCCCTGACAAGTATCACCTCTACCACATGGTCACCGTGGAGTCACGAAGTAAATTCAATCATAATAGATTTTCTGCATTCTATCAGGTCCTCAAGAATTGTAGAAAATACTAATTTCTATAAATATAGAATTAAAAATATAAAAAAGTGCCATACCAATCAATTCAAGTGTTCAAGCCACTCGACAAAAACCGAGAGCGTCGCTAGAGCATTTTGAAGGTGGAGGGATGTCGGGCAAAATATGCCAACAACTTGTCGGCAGTTTCCCCATAATCCCCCCTAAACATTTTTTATTTTAAAACGGGTTACAAAATTGTAATGCCGCCTCTTTTCTAAACAGTCCCTCGGGGTTGTACGACACGTCCTCTGGTG